CAGTGCTGCTTAAGCTTGAGTTAATGTTTAGTGTTATGATTCCTATGCACTGCTCGCACTTTTAGCATATTTAGTCTGATATCTGTGTTTAAAGTCGTAGGGAAGCGACTGTTCCAACAGTTGCAGTTCCGAATTCTCCAGAATGGTGCCTGACTTTACATGAGTGAATAGAGTGAATGTGATTGGTCGATTATAAAGGGGGCGGGATTGTTGTGGCGGAAGGTTCGCAAGCTTTTTGGTTGTGGCCGGTGTCTTGGAAGCATCTTTCTAACCAGTTAGCAACTTAGTGCTAGTAGGTTCCCAATGGGAAATTACATTGGGACCAAATAGCACTTAGCAACGCAACTGTCAAGGAATGCTTGTTGTGGAAGAGGGCATAACAGGGCTTTTACTTCACACTTATCCTTGGGGTGTTTTTGGATGTCAGGTGACAGGTTTGGGAAGCTAAGTATCACTTAGATTTTTTTGGTTGCATGCTACAGTTGGTTGCAAGTGTGTGAATTCAAGTATCTTGGTATCCTATTCTTGAGTTATGGTAGGATAGAGCAGGAGTTGGTTTGAGAGATTTAGACCCCCCCTGCATTAATGTGGGTGTTAGTCTAGCCTGTTATAGCTCAGCCAAAAAGCGAACCTACATACCTTTATATAACCTAGAAAAATAAAACAAATATATGGGAACCTCACTAAAAATATAAGGTGGACTCAAGTCGTCCACATCTGCTTACATATTCCTTCAGGTATGGAAATCCCTGGGATCCTAGGAATGAGCTCAGTAACTGGGGGAACGGATTAATATGGTTTCTCTTCCTGGACCTCTTACAACTGCAGTATAACCTGGCAAATGTGGATAACACTGAGTATTTGGACTTAATTACCAGAGATATGTGCTACATCATATAAAAAAGAAAGATCTTAGACATTTAAACATGAATCAGAGGCAGTTTTAAGATTTAACACCATACAGGTCGGGAGATTCTGATGATTTTCCCAGTTTTTGAAGTGCATTTGTGGCGCTAATGCTTCTATATGTTTTTTGGAATGACACATAATTGAAAAATAGTCCATCCTCTTAGATATGTATGCAGGAATGGGAACCAGATGACTTAACATACAGTAATGGTTTAGAAGTATTTTATAGAGATTGCTGTTATTCTTTCCAACTGCCTCAGCTGTCTGGCCTCTTTGACATTTCCAGGCCGGTGTTTGGACCACTGCTACATGTCCACACGCTGAGGCATATAATAAACTGCATGTGGTCCTTGACAGACGATTAGCATGGAGCTGTGTGTGCAGCGGCGAGAGAGAGACAGAGGGAGAGAGAAAGGGAGAGAGAGACTGTTTCTCCAAAATGGATGCCACACACATACACTGATTGCGACTAGTGCCGTGTGTGGGGGGGAGATCTGATCTTCTCTTTGTCAAGCTTTTAGCTCTAAAGCTAATGCATCTATTCAAAAGGTTCACAGCTTGTGGATGTCTGTGTAAGGTTTCAAGGGGAAATTCTGTGGCTACGGTAAGCATCAGTCCTCTCTGCATTGCAGCAGTATGGTTGAGGAAAGCGAGGAGCAGAGAGCCTGTGTTGCACACCGAGCACAGCACCCAATCAGGTACCTCCATCTCGTACCTAAGCCAATCGGCAGCTTGCAGCTGAGGTTAAAGATTGACAATTGCAGGAGAGAACAGCAGGAAGAGAAGGCCTTCTGGGAAACCTGGACCTATCTTTTTTCCCCTCATCCCCCGGCGTTCTCAATTATTGATAAAGAGAAAACAATAGGCCGAAGATTCTTTGAGTAAGAGAGGAAAAAAGGTATGCCGATTATTTCCTTCACTAAGGCATGATTGTTATGAGAAAGGTGGGTGTGGACAGTGGTGTGTCAATAAGTTGGACTGAGCAGATCCATTAAAATATTTGAAATATTTAATCAGGATGTACTTTATTGATTGATTGCCTTTTCATCTCTCTCTCTTACTGATTGTTTGTTTTATTTGGATCCCCATTAGCTTCAGCATAAGCTAAAAGCTATTCTTACTGGGGTCATCCAATCCTCAATTTGACAATACAGTTTATTACATCACATCACAAACTATAAACATAAGTCATTCACACAAAATTAAATGCATAATTTACCATTGATCACTAAAATAATAACGATGAAGTAAATAAATAAATGAGAAACATAATTAAAATAAAATATTGCTATTCCAAATAGATCTATATCAAAGAATAAGTTAACAAGAACCCTACAACAGTATCTCCTTAATTAAATTAACATTAACAATCTACATTTCTTTGAAGGTAATACTTTTTAAGTGAAGTTTTAAAACCATACGGAGTGTTTTGTTGTTTGATAGTATTTGGGAGTAAATTCCATTCACATAATACCCTGTACCTAACTGAGCATTGAACTGATTTGGTTTTAACTCTAGGTAAAATAAAAGTACCTCCTACTACATATGTCGTTGGATAACGATGCGTATCGATGCTGAAGGGTAGTTTTGTATATACAGTAAAAGGTGTTTTATTTGTTATAACATATAAAATACCATTACTGAATACACCAATCTATTGTTAACTTTTAACCATTAAAAAGCGAACATGCATTTTGTCAACTTTTGATCTGAACCCACTTGTTGTATTGTTTCTATTTTACTTGGCTGCACATGGGGGTGTTCCTAATATTAATGCGGTCCAGGCGGGTTAATCTTAGAGGTCAGCAGAGCCAGTTTAAGGCATTAAGACAGGTGTTTGTTCATGGGCTTTCTTGACTTTAGCTATTTCGAAGTGTAGGAGGAGATATGAGACATTTTGTTCCTTTGTCTGAACTAGAGGAAACATCTTAATCGGGTGTTTTTCAGCTGAGAGGGATTTAAACAAAAACCATCAGAACAGCTCGATCAGCTTTGGTCCAGAATATGCTTGGTAGTGTCAATAAATAAAATCAAACTTAAACATGTTTGACTGACGTTAGAAAAAAAACAAACCTGTTGAGCACATCTTTGATGCAGGTGCTTGGCATCATCATAGGGTTTTTCTCTCTTGGTATATTGTCTGCAAAATGGCAGTAGATAGTTTTGTCACCTGTAAACAGTCCTGCTGCTGGATCTTTTATTTTGAGAACAATCTTTTTTTTAATTTTACTTAACCTTTATTATTCTCTAGTTTCATGAAATGTCAGAATTTAAAAATGGCTAAATTGTTACAATTTTTTTTCATATAGTCTCTTAACGATATAAATATATCAGGGTTATTGTGATGAAATTGGTATAGGGCTATTCATTAATTAATGATATGCAAATATGTAAGTGTAAGGCAGCTCACCATTAGTAAAACCAAGAGCATAAATGCGATAACCAAAATCACTATTATGTTGATTGGAAGCATTGACATACTTATATTTTATAGATAGATAGATAGATAGATAGATAGATAGATAGATAGATAGATAGATAGATAGATAGACACATAGAAAGAAGCTGTAAGGTAAACAAACTTAAACTCCTTTACATTATGTACGTATGTTTTTCAGACATGAGGACTGCTTATGCTGCTTCCTTCTCTGTGTTATTTAAGGTAAAAAGTCCCAAAAAAGCAACATTTAACACCTAATTTGGTCGATACTATATCTCGGTTTAAATGAGTACCCGTGGGTTTTTAACAGTTTGTCATATACACTTTATTTAATACCATCTGGGGATGTCGCGATACATCTTTTTAATTGATTGATAATTATATTGACCTGATACAATACCAGAACAAATACCTACTTTTAGTTCCCACTTTGAAGTGTGTAATGTTAGAAAAAGCTTATTTAAGTAACAGTGAGCATAGATAAGTTTATTGAAAGAGTCAATGCAATTTACATACCAGCTACAAAATTAGACAAATTTTATCATATAAAATATTACACTATATATTTTTTACTGTATAATATATTTAATTTGAAGCATTTTACCAATTTAAAATCTACCGAACATTATTTTCTTTTTTTTTAAATTGAGATATTGGTTTAAACTGATGTACTGGAAATATAGCGCAATTTATTTTGATAAAACTTTCATCAGTAACTTATAGCAAAGTCATGATTAGATGGGATAAATGCTAAGGCACTGTCTGTTTGTCAGTGTTACAGAGGAGGAGGGAAAGACAGAAAAACATCCCGAAGCAGGAGGAATGGAGATCTCTACCAGATCAAAAGGTAAGTGCAGCCAGGTTTTAATGAGAACTGCCTGAATAGGTTGGTTAAACACACAAGTATTCACACCACAGCATGTACTCACTGATCATGACCATTTTATTTGTCCGATATTTGTCAGACTGAATGTTCTTAGTTGACATGGGTGGCATTAGGGGTGGAGTTACCTGCCTTCGCCTTGGGCCCCTATTTCTTAAATTTGCTGCTGACTGACACTCGGTGTGCACTTCTTTTGGGGAAGGCCCATTTGCTTCAAGATTTGGCATGTTGATGTGAGAGAGTGTAGTCTTGATGTGTAATGTGTGCTTATATGAATCACTGTTGCTCATCTTCATCTTAAAGGAGTCTGATCATTCTCCTCAAATTATGGCTTCAATAGTTTTGTCCATGCAGCTTTCACCAGTTGGATAGTTTCTCATTTTTGGGTCATTTGCTGTAAACCTAAAGGGCATTTTGTGTGGAAATGCCAATGTTAATATTTGAAGAGGTATACCTAGAAATTTGTTATTAGTCATGTAAAAAAAATGTCTTATTTGTGTTTTGTTCTGATTGTTGACTTTTGATGTTCTGATGAAAGTTCACCTTGTTGTTTCCAGAGGTGTCAAGTAACAAAGAACAATTGCTTTGTTGCCTTATTAGGTAGAAAAATGTTGTCTATCTTTTTTTGGATAACTTTTTAATTCTACTACTAACATTTTTGAAATAGAGTTGTTCATTTTTTTGTCATAGTGGCTCTTTCGCATTATGGCCTGTTGGTATTTAATAAACAAAAAAACAAACAAACAAACAAAAAAAAAAACATCTAAATAATATGTTTAATCCAGACAATTAATTTCTGTGTGGTACTGCAATAACTAGTGGTTCGCTGAATACCAAAATAAATAGTTTTTCAAGATACTGCAAACTTATATTTTACACTGTTTCCATACAACTAAGAAAAATAACTATAAGAAAGTTATAATCCAGAACTGTAGTAAAATGTTCCTTCAATAGGGTAGTGCAGTAGCCAATATAAGATTTAAAGCATCCTTCCTTAACATTTTTGCCTGCATTACTTTTATAGGTATAGAAAAATTGTACTTTTACACTTTTCCTTGAGTAAAAAGCTTAAGTTGATATTTTAAGATTTTTTTTAAACAATAGGATTTATACTTCTACTTGAGTAATGAACTTGAATAAACTTGGTTGTTTCACTGCGGCGTAGCACATCCGTTTAGGTACAAAAGTTGTTTTCATCTTTTTTTAAACCCTGTTTTCTCATGAACAATAATACTCTTTGATGCCATATTTTAAGTGAAATACAGAGCAAAATATATGAACAAAGTCAATAAATCAAAGAGTAGATCGGTTACAGAAAATAAAATAGGGTACCGTATGTAAACTGAAACTTTAAATGTATACAAAACAATATTCTAGACCAACAGCAGTAGCATAGATATAGGACATGTATCAATAAAAGAATGTACTGTGTTACAACTACTGTACATAAAGTTTCCAGTGAGAAAGGATTTTACAATGATGAAGTAATGGGAACGGCTATGCGTCCCAATGAGAAGTTTTAAGGATAAAAATTCAAAATAGGAAAATATATGGACTTTGTGTATACAACAATGGAATTACAAAATAAAAATAGAAACAAACACATTGAGTGAAAAAAAATTAAGTACTTAAATGACATTTTCGAATACATATTTGTAAATAATGCATTCTTCTCTTCCACGAGCAAAGAAATTAATAGTTGATAAACCTTTGGAGCAAAATGTACTGAGACCATTTGCTGCTTTTCAAGTCATTTATTCTTTTAGTGAAAAGCTTGATTGTTTGGAAATGACTTGGTCAAATCTGGCACTGGATATATTATAATCACAAGCTAGAATTTGAGTTTAACTAGTCAGTTAGGCAATGAAAAATTTATTTGACCCAAAGTAAGAAACAGTTTTACATTATTTTTGTTCCTTTTCTGACTTAATTGTAAATCAATAGCACCATGGCCTAGCATTATTCTGTCTTAATTCTGGGATTTACAATATATGTTATTTCAGATGCAGGATCAACAGAGAGGATGGCCCAGAAGAGAAAGATCCCCAGTCCTTCAGACTCGTCCAATGACCACTCTCCTACTGAGACCTCCCCCTGTCCAGCAAAAAAGAAGAAAAAGCCAGGAGCTGTTAGCGGCTGCAAAGACCAGGTATAATCTAACTATGTCTAATAGGAATACAAAACTACAAAGATCTAAAAAAACAAAACAAAAAACGATTAAAGTGTTCAGAAGACTTGGATATAAATTCTGATAGCAGGACATTAGTTTGGTTTGTGTTTGACACATTCAGTGTCAAATGACGTTTCTATGGATTTATCTTCTATCAAAAAAGTCTCTCATCTTCAGACTATCCATCTAGGATGATCTAGTTAAAAGTAGAACATTTATACCTGAATGATTAAAACACAGTTATTCACCTGGACTCTGTCTATAAACAGACACATTGATTGTCTCAGTTCATGAACTGAAATGTTAAGTTTGTTAAACTATGCTTTCATGCGACTATCGTATTAGCATAATATATTCCAAAAAGAATTACCAAAAATGCATAATTGTACATTGTACTTTATCTACTTTGCAGTGAACAATTTATGTAAATTTATCTTATGTATTGTTTAATTGGTGTGTTGACTATAACGAATAAGTAAAAGAGAGAGAATAAAAGTGATCGAAAATACGAAATGCTTATGTGATTTAATGTAAAAATGCATTAAAAGCTTGTCTTAGATTAACTTGTAAAGTAGGACAAATTATATATTTGTTTTCTATTCCATTGAAAAATGGAGAAATATACAGGTCTATATCAGTGTGCTGACAGAGAATATCTACATATTAAGGGTCTGGGAAAAAATCAATATGGCGATACATCATGATTTTCGGCTGCCTGATATAATATCGATCTTTCAGTTCGTAGGATTGATTTTTTTTAACAAAACATTTTATCTAAAACAATGAGGGAAAATGGGATACTTTTGCACCGCCGCTCTGGCAGATAGAGCTGTGGAGCCCTTTTGCTGTGTAACGCAGCACCATATCTGTTGTTAAGGCACACAGTGGAAAACCTGGACTGACTCAAATCCCAAACAACGTGGATACTAACATAACTTAATGATCAATATCTTCTGATGAACATATACAGAATTAGCTTTTTTATCTATACATTTTTTTTTTGATAGCTGGGAAAAATATAGCAGTATATAGAGAAATAGCAAATCGGGATAATATCGTATCATGAACCAAGTATTGTGACACATATTGTTTTGCAACACCCATGCCAATACTCACCCCTACTCTCTATCAACATTCACAGGTCTCTATGTGTCTCTAGGTTCACTGAGCATCAATACTGGATGGGCAGGGTAGTTCCTGAACAGTTTAAATAAGCAAAACTTGGAGGGTGCATGAGTCAGTATTGTCATCCACTAAGAAATATAGAAAATGGGGGAGAAAAGAATGGTGGTTCTAAGTTCAGTCTACTTGTGGTAAAAAAAAAAAAAAAAAAAAGATGTGTTTTTCTGCATGCAGGTGACTTTGACTAGCTACATGTTCTCAGGATGCCTTTTGTTTTTTCATCCATTATCATGAAAATAACCATTTTGTTATACGATCCCTTAGGGTTGTTTTTCTTTTAGCTTTAAGATTTTAACATTTTGTACCTTTTTTAATAGCTCATTCTTAACAGCATCTACAAATAATATGTCATTATTCAGACAGAGACAGAACAGATCAGTAATATTGTTAATCTTGTCTAATCTGGGAAGGATATCTTCTCCTGCATTATTACGACATGTGGTGGGGCCAGTGCCAATCTCTGGAATTCTCTTGGAGAATTTGGAGATGCCAATTAACCTAACACAGGGACGCACAGGGAGAACATGCAAACTCCATGCAGACAGATCCTGGACCAGGAATCGAACCTGGAACCATCTTGCTACAAACTGCGTTTCCGTGCAGCCTGTTGTCAATCTGTTGTCACTTTAATTATTATTATATTTCCCTCTTGAGACCAGTTTGTGTTAAAAATTGGAAAGCTGTTGCTTTGTCCGCTGCTGTATATTTATTTCTATACAAAGTAAAAATGTTAATCTGTTGCCATATAAATCTATCAAACTAGTGCTATGTCAAATTGCGATATCCAGATACAACTTTTTCATCTTCAATATGATACTGATTGTGCAGCTTTGATTATTTCTCCAAATCAGATTTGATATCAGCACTAATAAATTTTTTTTTTTGGCTGATATTGACCAATTTTAAGTACCAATATCATATTGGGACATTCCTAATTTCAGATTATTTTTGTCCCACAATGTGACTTCCTAAAAACTCATTGGCTTTAAATGGATGAATAATCATCAGATATGTCATCTAAAGCATCTGTTCATATATATCATTTGTTTCCAAATAGAGAGCAGACTTCATAAATGCAGCTTCTGTTATTAGTTAACATATTTCTTGCCTTATTGTTTTTATGCATATCTAGGTTATTGCTAGCAGGTTAACTCTTTGATTTGCTATGATTTGTTGATTGTTGGTATTTTATGCATTTTGAGTTAATTGTGAGATTTAAGACTTGCCAAAGAAACTCTTCCCCTACTTCACAAACTTTACATTTTCTGCTCTCCAGGGTTGACTATCTGAGCCAAATGGTCACACGACACAGACACGAAACGGGACAGCAACCAAAGCATTTTTTAAAATTTGAATGTGAAAGAATGTCATTGCAAAGGGATAAAAATAATTGTCATTTTGAAGAACAGATTAAAAAGGAACACATTCTAGAGTTTATATTTGCAAGCCATGCAAAGACTTGCAAATATAAAGGCTTTCAGTCATGAAACCACAGTGATCAGAAGGTGTGTTTAGCTTGGGGATATAATTATACAAACATTAAAATAAATTGAATCACCCCCCCCACCCCCCTGCCTGAGGCTATGTAGCTTCCATAACATTGCTGTTAAAAATTAAAGAAGATAAGATTTCTGTTTTTTTTGCCTGCCATTTTTCTGTTTTTCAGCTAATTTTTTTTTCTTGTTTTCAGCAATTTCTTGACAATATAATGTATGCTGCTCGTTCTTCTAATGCTTATCATTCACAAACCCATCATTGTGATTGCTTGTAGTTGATGGTCATATGAACAATTATTCTTGCCAAACCATATCTGTTCATGCTTTTGCTCCTCACTTCTTATTATGAATGACACAGCGGAACATCCAGTACAGGAGATACTGGCCTCTTATAATTACCTAGATGTCCATCTGAATAACGAACTGGACTCACGACCCTGAGGCTCTTTATAAGAAAGGTCAGATAGACTCTTCCTGCTGAGGAGACTGAGGTCTTTTGGAGTGCAGGGGGCGCTCCTAAAAGACTCTGTTTTTGCATCAGCCATCTTCTATGGAGCTGTCTGTTGGAGCAGTGGCTAATCTGTAGCTGAGAGAAAGGATAAGCTGATCAGGAAGGCCAGCTCTGTGATTGGATGCCCTCTGGACTTAGTGCAGGAGGGGAAACAAATGGATCCTAACTAAATTAACATCTCTGTTAAATAATTTCTACCACCCCATGCATGAAGCTGTTGCAGAACTGGAGAGCTCCTTCAGTGACTGACTGCAGCACCCTAAATGCACCAGGCAGCGTTCTCACAGATCCCTCCTCCCAGCAGGTGTAAAGGGCTGTGTGTACTCCCACAGCACTGTGTCTCAGTTACCTTGTTGCAGATATGACACAGATATTTTTGATTTATTCCCAATTTTGAAGAAGGTTCGCAAAAGACCTGGTTTCTGAGCATAAACCAGGCTTAAGCTAGCCTAGTAAACTAGCCCCATCCGCTAGCGGCCAAAATTATTTTTTTTATCTCCCATTTAGTCTGGTTTATCAGGCTAGGCTAAAGCCTTTATAACCACCACTGTTCCCAACATGCTGATTTTGCAAAGTTTCTATCTTAGTCAGTTAAATAACATGCTGCTGTCATTTTAGAATATCCATTACTGTAAAAATGTCCATAGCTGTATATTGGTTATTTATTCTCCAGGTGCACAGTATTTACATTGTTAAAACACTATACAGTACAGTGTTTTATGGTGTATATTTTAACACTTCACTATTATGTTATTCTTATGTATTTTTCAAAGGTCCACATTTGTGTGACCATTTTTTCTGTAATCCTTTTGCCGCTGTAACACCAGAATATCCAAATTGTGGGACAATAAAGAAATTTTGTATTCTATTCTATTCTATATGAAACACAGACTAAAGACGAAGCACTCAAATGCACAAATATATGGTGGTAATCTGTTTGTTGTTCAGTACATATATTTTATATTGATGCTTTGCATGTCTCCATGGCTTTCCTAATCTGCATCCTGATTTTCTTTCTCTTTCCTGTGTTCCAGTCTGAGCTAAAACACGGCCCCTTTTACTACGCCAAGCAACCAGCGCTCACCACAGACCCTGTTGATGCTGTACCGCAGGATGGCAGGAACGACTTTTACTGCTGGCTGTGCCACCGAGAGGGCCAGGTGCTGTGCTGTGAGCTCTGCCCCAGAGTGTACCACGCCAAGTGTCTCAAACTGCCAGCTGAGCCCGAGGGTGACTGGTTCTGTCCAGAATGTGAGGTATGAAGCTGAGACACTGAAAGGCTTGCTGGTTACGTAAATGTTTAGCAATTGTAGTTGCTATAATGCAAAACTATTTAATTACTGTCATCCAAAAATAATTACACCCCTTTTTCTTCAGCCTTCAGTGTAATATATCAAGGTTTTATGTGGCGGATTGACACAAACTAGGGACGGACAGTGATGGATAGTATAAAGATTTCATTAAAAGAAACTCAGAGAGTCTGAATAGGAATGCATGCCACACTTTTCATGGTTATATTATTAAAATATTGAAGACCATTAATTGTCTACCGTCCACCTCATATTCATTATTTTCTTTATTTGCTCATGATTTACTGGTGCAAATAAAATACATCAAGGTTAGTAGTTTGACAAAAGGAGGCAAATATGCAAACAAGGGAGTTTATTTCCTAAGCTCCTTTTTTAAATGAGAGCACAAAATCTATTTCAGTAAACCTTTACAGTACAAATTAGGAAACCTTTTAACATCTCTGTGCATTCCATATTTAAAAATCTAAGAATAAAATGTCGATTTCTGTCTGTTTTCCTTTAGAAAATAACTGTTGCTGAGTGTATAGAAACGCAGAGCAAGGCCATGATGATGCTCACTACGGACCAACTTTCTTATCTGCTTAAGTTCGCTCTGCAGAAGATGAAGCAACCAGGTGTAAGTGTTTTCTAACAGCTGTCTATCTGGGATTTGTAACGTAACACTAAGTGAAAACAATCAAATTTATGATCATAATTTAAATTAAGGCATGAATTCTGCGCTTAACCGACTAAACGACAGTCTGCACCTTTCAAAAGTGGACCTTATTGTTCACCTTTTGGCACAGTTTCATGTATTTATGACTTTGCATGGTAAATCTCACAGTAATAGAACTAACAGTCCCATGAAGTGTAATGTATTGGACCTGTCATGGCTGGAAGGCAGTAAACATGCTAGCTGGTGGTGAGGATACAGCTGCCCCTCTCGCTCTCTTTCAGGATCATCCTCGCTTGTCATCTCGCTCCCCACATGCAGCTTCCTCGCAGAGAAAGACTTTTAATTGGGTAATCAATCACATCACTAACAAGAACCCATCATGATTTCTTCCTTCACTGCTTCTTTCTTTCTTTTTTTGTAAAGAGATGCTTTAGAGCTTTTGCCAGTTTTTGGGTAGCATGTTGCTGTCTCTAGAAGGAAACACTACTGTGAATTCTAAATATTTGTTTACCTTCACTTGTTTTTTTTATCCCTCTTTTGTTGATTTTACAGACTGAACCTTTCCAGAAACCAGTGTCTCTTGAACAACATCCTGATTATGCAGAGTATATCTTTCATCCAATGGATCTCTGCACACTTGAGAAGGTATATTTTTTTGTCATTTGATCACAGCCTTTGTTTCAAGATATCCTGAGCCGGATGTTTTCTAACAATGATAATCAAGCTTTTGCATCATGTATTTAGGCTCTTTTTTTATGTACCACCACAGAATATCAAAAAGAAAATGTACGGTTGCACAGAGGCTTTTTTGGCAGATGTGAAATGGATCTTGCACAACTGCATAATCTACAACGGAGGTATAGTGCAAATTTAGTTCTTAAAATGACATAGATCATTAAGATGCTTAGAAAGGTTTTTAAAATACCATGATGTAACTGCTACGTAGCTTTGAAAATCTTCAAATTAGCACATTTTATCTCATCAATGCCACATATTACCAGAGATGTCAAGTAACAAGGTACAAATTACTTTACTTAAGTACACTTTTTAGGTATCTATACTTTACTCCATTACTTATTTTTCTTCTGACTTCTACTCATTACATTTTCACACAAGTATCTGGACTTTCTATTCCTTACATTTTTAAACCAAAAGTTACTTGTTACTCTTGGCTTCGGTTTAATGTTTATATATATATTTTACGTCATGTGTGCCATCCAATGCAGGTCATTGGCGCCATCCACATCTAGTGATAACTAATCTAATTGGAGGAGTCATATAACGCAAACACTCATTGGTTAGCTAAAGGAAATCATCAGAAGCAAGCAGGCGTTCTTCAAACTGCAAACGTGAATTGTCTATGCCGTGCTACAATGTCGGATTCAGAAAAAGATGTCGAAATGAGACCAACAAGACCTCTCTCATCCTTTGCCCTATCTCAAAGAATTTTTCGAAATAATCGAAAAAATGAGCTTTCAGTTCATATAGTGGCATCTGGCAGTTTTTTTTTTTTTTTTAAAGTCATTTTGAAGTCGTTTTTGGAGCACATAGTTTTTCACTTTTACTTGAGTAAAGAGGTCGGGTCGATACTTCAACTTTTACCAGAGTTTTTAAACAGCAGTATCTGTACTTCTACTTAAGTAACAAATGTAGGTACTTTTGACACCACTACAAATTACACTGTAATTTAAGTTGAAGTTTATATTTTAGATAAATGCAAAGTAGTTAATAACTGGAAAATGGAAGGAAAATTATATATATATATATTTTTAGGAATAATTGTGGAAGTAACCTTAAATTCAAATTCCTCTCAGAGGCCACCTGATTAGTAGGGTCCTGTGTTTAAATTCATCTGAGTCTAGATTTAGCTTTCCTATGAATACCTCAAAGGATTGTTAAACATATGTGTACAAACAGCATTGAGAAGATGAATGATAATGAACACAGCAAATGGGTCTAAAAGAAAACGGTGAAGAACCTCTAAAACAACCATAGGTTTTTAAATAGTGGTTCAAAGTTCCTGATAAAATTAGCAAATACTGTTTCCTACTGGCAGCTTGAGATCTTTGGTCCTAACATAAGAAATAAGATAAAGGTTGAATTGGAAATAAAGATTATAATAATGATAAAAAATAACAATTCAATAATAATAATTATTATCTATAGTTCACATTACATGAGTATTTTGAAGTAAAAACAAAACATCAAAATAGGACCAAAAAATATTAATTATTAATCCTATTATCTGAAAAATAAAACAATTGACTTTGTCAGCTCCTCTCTCTGACCACACTCTGACACAGAAGAAGCCATAGTCAGTTTGATAGTGAGTTTACCCTCTAAACAGCTGGATCCACCTCCACCAACTCTTCACAAAATATATTGTTCCAAAATATTGCACACCAAAGTATATCAATCATAATTTCATTCTACATAACTTTACTTTGCATTGCGACCTTTTGGATGTAAGGTTTAATGCTATTAGTCCAACCGATCCTGGATACGTGCCACTGATATTTTAGAGCTGATTTCTTACAGGCCGTATTGTTTTTTTCTTCCACCATTTACTTGGTAAAATTACAAAATGATAACAAATGTTACAAAAATCTCAATAAAAAAAAAATTTATTTATTAACAAATCAAACAAAAAATTTACAAGGGATGTGTATGGATGGAGCGGCAATGCATGTGCCTCACATTATCCTAAGGCATTTTTGCTGAATTCATTGATGAATCAGCCATCTTGCATGTGGCGGCTGATACTGATACGAGAAAATAAAGGCTTATATCAGCAAAAAAACTATCGGCAGGCTCATTTATCATCTATCTTTAGTTGAAAGTTTCGGATCCATCACTAAATGAGTCATGTGACTGTTTTATGACTTTCGGAGATCCCCTTAGATGTTATTTGTCAAAAAAGCAGATATGACGTTTACTTGATCAGGCATATTTGTCAGAAGCCTGGAATCTTGTCCCCAATATTCAAGCAGACAGATCAGGATGATTTCAAAAAACGTTTATTGAGTAAATAAGCATGCGGCTCCTCGTCAGCTGGGGTGAATACACAGGATATTCTGGTCTGAGTTCAGTTCAGTCCTGGAGAAAGGAGAAGAATCCAAACTGGAGATTTGGCCACAGCTTGCGACAGGAGCCGTCCCCAGAGTTCTGAGTGATGAGCAGAACTGATACCAGCCGATACAGAGGAGAACAGAATCCGTGAAAGAAAATCCAAAGCCAGAGTCTAAGCAGAACCAGGTCAGAGAGCCGAGGAGGTACCAGAGGAGAATCCAAGCCGAGATCAGAAATAAAAAGTTCAAGTTCAGTAAGCCGGCAGAATCCAGGAATCCATCCAGAACAGTGAGACTTACAAAGCAAACAAGGGCAAAGCAAAACTAGAAAGTCCAAAAAGGCAGAAAGAGGTCAGGATTAGAGAATCAACAATAAACAAATGCTAGAGTTACTCTCACCAACAGCTCGAATAATCAGTTGCAGATGGCAGGCAAACAGGAGGCATAAATAGCAGCAGGAACCAGGTGGACAAGATGAACAGTAATGAACAACGGGCCAATTAAAAAGGTGAAAAAAGTAAACAATAAAGCCAGCCATCAGCACCAAGACTATGACAATATTTTGGGTTCTTTGATACAGGATTTAATCCAGAAGCCTGAATGTGCCCTTGTCTTTACAACTATCTCCATTACTTCTTAAACTATCTGTTATCAGATTCCAAAGCAGAGAGGGAGTCTTTCACTTTGTGACAGAGCATTGTTGCCAGTTGGTTTCAGGAACAATAAAACTGGAATTTATAGGTCTAGCGCTCCTAGTGTCTAAAAGTTTGATAGTGTTTGTTTGAGCAAACAGGCAGGGTTTAAACTTTCTGGACTCAATTATCCAACTTTGCTAACACAAATATAAAGGATTAAGGATAAGGGCCCAAATATCGGACATGTCACAGTGTATTCAGCATCTTCAATTAAAAAATCTGTCCGTCCGCACTAATGAAAGCATTAACCAGAGAAGCATCAACAATGCTAACTTTTCAGAAGAATCTGTCAGGACACCACAAATGTGGCTTTCACAGAAGAATAGCAAGAATAAAGGAAACCTAAAGACGCCATGTTTTCAGTGTTCTAAATTCAAACATTTGGAAGGAAGTTATTTAGTCAGATTTGCCCAAATTTAAACTCTGTGGCATGCAGGCTATGCATGAATGAAAACACTGCACTTCAAGCTTAACACATCCTCCTTGCCATGAAATAAAGGTAGTTGCTACATCTGTTCTGCAGGTGAATTTCTTTAGCCGAGACTAGGTGTGCTTAAGCTGTTTTGCATAGAGAAATCAACAAAAATTTTAGACCCTACTGTATATGTCTAAAGCCTGATAATCTACTTCCAGTTGTGAAACATGGTTTTACAACAAACTGACGTAAGAGAGTTGAATATAACCTTACATGAAATAAACACGGTTATCCCAGTAATTGTCAGTAGCAGCTACATCATGGATTATGGTAGGATCATAATAATACAATGTCTTGTAGTGAGCTGTGAGTCCATGCGATGTGTTGAGGAATAATCTATTTGTTTCAGGCAATCATAAGCTCACAGCTACAGCTAAAGTGATAGTGAAAATCTGTGAACATGAGGTAAGCATGACAATTGGGTAAGATGTCTTTCTGTACCTGAAAATACCTGGACTGAACACTGAAACTTATTAGATGTCTTTATCTTGTTCCTTTTTTTTTGCAGATGAATGAGATCGAAGTGTGTCCTGAGTGTTATCTGTCCGCTTGCCAAAAGAGAGAAAATTGGTTCTGTGAGCCGTGTGTAAGCTGGCAGATTTACAAAACGTTTCATGGCTCTCTCCTGTTATTCATCTCTTCTGAAAACGGCAATGATTTGAGAAAAACTCTGTAGTTCTTGTATGTTGTTGTCTATCTGCAGAGCCACCCTCATCCCCTTGTTTGGGCCAAATTAAAGGGATTTCCATTCTGGCCTGCTAAAGCTTTGCGGGACAAAGACGGGCAGGTCGACGCTCGCTTCTTTGGTCAGCATGATAGGTATCAAGCTTGTTTGCTATATCTACCTTGACCTTTTGGGGTGTTTTATCTGTCCTCTTTTGGTAAATGGTGGTCTTTGTGCCATAGGGCCTGGGTCCCTCTGAACAACTGCTACCTCATGTCCAAAGAGATTCCCTTTTCTGTAAAGAAGACCAAAAGCATTTTCAACAGTGCCATGCAGGAGATGGAGGTCTACGTGGAGAACATGAAAAAAAAGTTTGGCGTGTTCAATTATGCCCCCTTCAGGACACCGTACGCCCCTGACAATAACTTTCAGCTGCTTCTTGATCCATCCAATCCCTCATCCGCTGCTGTAAAACAGGACAAATTGGAGAAGATTAAGTTGAGCATTGATATGTCGGCATCACCCAAGATTACCCTGACCAGAGCCGTACTCCCTGGAGTAGGAGGGAGCATAAGACGGCGCCCTGTAGGAGACGTGCAGCGCTCTCCTATGAGCACCAACTCCTCTGCACATGGTGGCTCTGATGGAGAACAAGAAACAACAGATAGGTGTCAGAACAAACCTGCCAACAATCAGTCCAGTACAGGAGAAGAGTCCACAGACTGTACAGGTACGAACATACAGCTACATTTTGAATGGATGCCAATTTCTACTTAAAAGTATTTATCTTATGAATTACTGCAACTGAACTGTACCAATGTAACCAGCATTGTATGTAACTTTTTCATACGTCCATTTGCTGACAATGACATCACTGAGCTGGGCTGTATTGCCTGCATAAAATAATGCATTGATAAATGTTTATTTTTTCTGGTCTTTATCAGAGTCACAGATTGTGAGCATGGAGCCACATTTTGATTTTGGATTTGATCACTCTCTGTGTCTATTTCCTCAATATTCAAATTCAAATAAAATCTGAAATGTCTTCTGTGCAGCACCGGCACAATACAAGCTATCCAGGAAGAGCTGGAAGGGATTTCACTTTTTATCTGAAAAGTAATACAGACCATGTTCATTTCAACAGAGTCCCAAACATAGAGGATAAAGGAAGCAAAATGTTGTTATAATCTGGTTGAGCAAGTGAGCAAACTTTTAAACGACTGCTTTCTTTGAGCCTTTTTAGGAATCTTGAAACAAGTAGCATCTGGACTTGGAAATATTTATCGTCTCTCTTTCTCACATGTAGTGTGCAAATCAATCAGAATTGAAAGGTAATCTGTTGTTTGAGCTTTGCTTTTTCATTAGTTGTGGATATCATTTTGCTGATTTTGATGTGTTCTTTGATTCACTACGATACTCACAATTGAAATCCCTCTTCATGTTGGCTTTCAGGAAAACATTTGAAGCTTTTCGTTCTAAACCGAATGCCGTTTAGAGCTTTCCATTAATAAAGGAATACAGCTTTAACAAAAATAAATAAATACAGTTTTATCTGTAGAAAAGAGATAGCAGAGCATCATACTGCCACCACTTTGCTTCAGTGTGTGGGCTGCTTAGTGTAGTTTGACGGCGGAATTTTTCACTGATCAGAACTCGAGCTGCATGTTTAATTGACATATTCAGCGCCTGAATATCAATTATGGACTCTTAACTGCTCTTAATGCCCAAACTGGATTTTTATTTAGAGTGGCTGAGATACTAAAGCTTTAAGGGATTGCTGGCTACATTGTGTTATTATAAAGAAAGAAATGAATCTGTAAATATTGGTTGACCATTAGTGATATTGTTATCACAATTTTTTCAGCTATGCATCTAAATCCTTTTCATGAAGCAATGCTGTCTTGAATATAACCAGAGGTGGGTAGAGTACCGTACCCAGAAAAGCAAGGGTAACAAAATTAAGTTAAAGTAAAACGTACCCTTCAAAGAAATGATTAAGAGTAAAAAGGTAACTGGTGAGGAGGTTACTAGAGTACTTTTTAAAATTGTATAACTGTTTTTGCAAATTATTTTGGGTTTTTTTTTTTGTTAGAAATGTAAATGTCAGTAGAAAATTGCAGTTAATTGGAAAAGAAACACAGACAAAAGAAACTTTACCTTTTTCAAGATAAAACCTATTAAACCCAAACCTACAATATGTAATAAATTGTAGAGTAGGGCAAACTACTTTCCAGTGACGATTTATACTTATTAAAAAAATGCTTATTACTATATATTACCATATTTCATAAAAAGGTACTCATGGTAGGTAAAGTATAAAAAATACTTAAGAGTAGAAAGTATATTGCAGCAAAAATACTCCTAAAAGTGTATCCAAAAGTTACCCAAGTGAATGTGACTGAGTAAATAAAACTAGTTACTACTCACCTCAAACTATAGCAGGATGTCTGGAAATGTTTTTGCAGTTTTTTAATGTCTGAGATATTCTTGTTTCTTCTCCAAAGATTCTTTCAAACTCTTGGCTGCCTCTGATCATTTTCCATCTAGTCTTTTTCTAACTATTGTGGAACCACATCCAGTGCTCCCATATGTATTTGTTTTTGGATGTAGGGATTCCAGTTTCCTGGTCAATCACTGACTTTTCATTAAAAACTGATCTGCCAATTTTTTATTTTTTTTTTTGTCAAAATCTTTATTTATTTATTTATTTATTTTTTACTGCCACTGTGATAGGTTATAAGGTCACAATAAGTTTTCAAAATTCAAGTCTGATTTATTTAATAAAAACACTTAACCATACAAACTTGTTTAATCTAGATGTGCGGTAGTGCTCTAAAAAATGTATTAAAAACAGTATCAGTCAATCGGTTCACCCCTATATTATGTATGTATTAGTGTGGATTTCTCTACATATCACTCTACCAACCAACACCTCTAAAAAACATTCCAATCAAACCACTTAGAGCAGCTATTTCAAATATTTCAATATCAGTACAAGTGGCACATTGGAGGTGGAAAAGTGTAGAAATTGATTCTAGTCTCATTTACATCACATTTTAAAAGCAGAGTAACGTTTAAGTTTCATCAGAGGCAATGTTTACTGAGCATTCATAAAATCAGGATTAAAGATATGAAATAAGGACTTAAAAAGGAAATATACTGATATTATTCAGAAATCTTGTCATACAGTATTGATATGTTTTATTTTTTACAGGAGGATTGTTGGATAGTCCAAAACCCCCCGTCTCTCAGACCACTGACACCCCCAAGCAGGACAAGACACCACCGACCGGAAGTATTCTGAATCTAAATTTAGGTGAATACACTAACATGTTCTCCTGAAGTGTCTTAAGATGTAATATTAATATTTCAATATGGTGTTTAATTGTTTTTGTATTCTTCACACTGCAAAAAAATCTAAGTCTAAATAAGTAATTGTTTCTTAAAATAGGTGCATTTTTTATTGAATTAAGGAGGAAAGTGAGACCCTTTTCCGATGGATCAAGAAAATCTACTTTTAAAAAAAGAAAAAAGAATTGCATTGTCTTATTTCAAGTACATATTATCTTATTTTAAGGCTGTTTTTTGCAGTCCACGGGTGAATCCACATTACTTGGATAATCTGCCATGTGATTTTTGGATATATGCAGTTCGACTGATTGATGTGTGTCTTCTTAGATCGAAGTAAAGCAGAAATGGATCTAAAGGAGCTCAGTGAGACAGTTCAGCAGAAACAGGGAGCTGCTCCAGCCCTCACCTCTCCAAAAAGGCGGATCAAAAGCCGCTTCCAACTAAACTTGGACAAGACCATAGAGAGCTGCAAGGCACAGCTGGGTTAGTATGAAAACATGGAAATGTATTGCTTTGTCTGTGTGATAACATTTGGAAAGTTTTTTTTTTGTAAAGCAAATATTGACTACTACAGGAAAGTGAAGTTTGTTCTCCCATGGACTCTCCTCTGTCTGTAGGCATTGATGAGATCTCGGTGGATGTTTACAAAGGTGTGGAGCATAGTGACTCTGAAGACTCTGACAAGTCTGAGTCCAGCGAGAGTGAATATGTCTCAGAGGAAGAGTCAAAGACTAAGGCTGGCCAAGACTCGGTGCCTAAAAAGGAACCGCAGAAAGAGGCTGTCAATAGCAAAGTGAAAGAGCAAGAAACTGTAAGCCAGGCAGAGAAAGGCAAAGCAGATCGGCTTGTGTCAGAAACCATAGATGATTCCAGTGTAACTGTACCTGAAGGCCCAGCTGAAGAGAAAAGAGACTCTGATTTGGGAAAGAAGAACCCAGATACGGCAGATCCAGCTCCGGAAGCTTTTACACCCAAAGAAAAGTCCCAGGTAAAGCAAAAAGAGAGCAAACAGGCTGCGGCGGCTGAGGACTCGGACTCGGAGAAAGAGCTGGTTATTGATCTTGGAGAAGAACAGCCTGGAAAGGGGAAAAAGAGAAGCAGAAAAGACAGTGTTGTTCACAAAGAGTCAAATGCTGGGAAATCTGAAGGTGAGAAGAGGCTGCAATTTTTTATCAACAGTTAATTAATCTGATACATCAAATAGAGATAGGCTTTTAAAAAAAAACACTTTCTTAACACAAAAATGAGTACCAATGGAAATAATGAACAGGCTTTCTTTCTTTTTTATTCTAGCAGGAGATTAAACCTCATCAGAACTGAAAGTTAACTGAAAATTATTGGTTTGGCCAGAGCCCTTCAAGAAAGCTGATGTTTACTTGCTTTATCAGTTCCTAAACTGGCATTGATGAGTGTTTGAAATTATTACTGCTGAGATGCTTAAAATGTTTCGATTTTCAACCATCTAACTCCTCACTTGAGGGCAGGGCATCTCTGTGGCACTGCACATCAAAACAATAAGCAGCGACCCAGACCCTTATCATGAACTACCATCACTATGCTTGAAAACAGCAAATCCATTCCTACGTTTAAAGCCTCACCTTTATGCCTTTAAGTATCTTGTTACTATAACCAGGCAACTCAATATTTATTGTTTTTTTTACAATAAAAACTACCATGCAGGTAGCTGCAGCTTTCCATTGAGCTTGATGCTGGTTACTTTGAAGCTGGGCTTTCCTCTTAACATTAGAGACACTTCACCAAAGATGGTGACACTGTGGTCCTTATATATGCTTATTATTGGTATGTCTTAGCTTAGGTGGTTTCTGGGTTGTTAGTACACACCAGGGACAATTTCCTTCTATCCAATTCTACAAAAGGTGACAATTTGAGTCAGACAGGTAAACAGTTTAGTCATTTTTTATTTATTTATTTATTTTTGTTCTAGTCAGAGAATACACATCCCAACAGGTTTTCACTCAGGTCTAAACTGATTGGTGTTAGAAATATTAAAGTGAGAAGAGGCGTGAAGAAACAAATCCCCAGAGCAGTAACACTGACCAAGTACTCGCGGGATGTGTGTATACGTTTGACTCTGTATGTTTAATTGCAGAGGTGGATAATCCAGGTCCAGAAAGTAAAAAGCCTATACAGAGATTAGTTCCAACCCTTTGCATTTTCAGCTCCACAACACAAACTAATCACCTGAGGAGCTAATCACCTGGTAAAGTGAACAGGATGAAGTAAAAAAGGGCAGGGTTTTTACTTTTGGTACCTCCATTATCCATCTCTGTTTAATTGTAACTCCTTGTCGATTAGAGAAAAAGTTTGAATATATATGCTTTAGGGATGGAACGGTTTATGAAAACCGTCCGAACCGTTGGGTTTGAGTGTCTCGGTTCGGTTCGCGTGTGTTGCGTTCGGTTAATGCGCTGCCCCATTTTCTCATAGGCAAAGCGTTTAAAAGCGTAAAAGCCCCAAAATTTTCCGCCAGATGGCGTGATTTTTGTCAACCTAGCGGTAATTTTGATGTAGTTACCAAAACGACAAACAAGCTAGAAAGCGCTATCATATGGCAGTCTTCTGTACAGTGGTTATACATTAAAAAATGTTCATAATTTTTTTTTCTCTCAGACATTGGAGAGGTGCATTTAAATGTTATAGAACTAAACATGTTAAATTGGTGACCTGTTATGTTATTATTATTGTCTTGTTGCTGCATTTATTTTGTCAGGGAAAACTAATCCTGAGTCAGTTAAAAGTCAGGGAATTCTGAAATTATGTAAGACTGTGGAAACCCTGTATAAAATNCGGTTCATGCGCTGCTCCATTTTCTCATAGGCGAAGCGTTTACACTCCAGAGCAGAAGGTGGCGGTACTGCGACCAAAGCCAACCACCAGTAGTAAACAAGAAGAAGAAGAAGAAGCGAAGAAGCATAGCCGAGTGTAGCAGAAAAAAATCAGTTGTTGTGGAGAATTGTGTGGGTATGGCGAGTGGGAAAGAACAGGCAGGGCTCGATGTTACAAATTACAAGAGTACAAATTTCATTGCATTTGCCCACCGGGCAAGTGCAGTGATCGCAAAAAAAATTATTTATCACTCAAAATTACTTTAAAATCACCGACATTAGCTGAAAACGAACCAGCCGGCGCCATTTTTGTTGTGTTGTACACATTCTCGCGTGATTTGAAAAAGACGCGTGATTTGAAAAAGCTGCGAGATTTTCCGCCAGATGGTGTGATTTCGTCGACCTAGCGGTAATTTTTATGTAGTTACCAAAACAACAAACAAGCTAGAAAGCTCTATCATCTGGCAGTCTTCTGTACAGTGGTCATACATTAAAAAATGTTCATTATTTTTTTTCTCTCATACATTGGAGAGGTGCATTTAAATGTTATAGAGCTAAACATTGTTACGTTATTATTATTGTCTTGTTGCTGCATTTATTTTGTCAGGGGAAACTAATCCTGAGTCAGTTAAAAGTCAGGGAATTCTGAAATTATGTAAGACTGTGGAAACCCTGTATAAAATAACTGTATAATGATTCTCTAGAAAAGTCACATTATATTAATAGTATTATCTTGTATAAACATACTGTGACTCTAAAATAAGTTATTCATTTGTGACATTGACTTCTATCTTGTGATTTATCTGAAGTTTTTAACCTGTCAAGTTTTTTTTTTTTTAGATTTTTAACATTACAATTTGTATTTTTCCCAAGCATACAACAGTTCAAAGCAAAGTTAAGTTTGAAAAGAATGTGCAGGAAGGATTGAAAGGCATGTTAACACGGTAATGTAGGCTTGAGTTCATTATCTGAGGCATGCATATACACACCAGGAACCTGTAAAATTAAAAAAATACTGAATTACAAAAAACGTTTAAAAAACAAACATGTTTCATTGATATATATACAAAAATGAATATTAGGAAGTATGTTTATCAAACATTATACTGGGCAAGTAAAAATTGTTTCTGGGCAAATGAAATGTGAAAGTCACTTGCCCAAAGGGCAAGTGGTAAAAATCCTTAACGTCAACCCCTGACAGGAGTTGGAAGACGCGCCAGAAGCACTTTATATGTCTGCTGTATGGGACCACTTTGCATTTAGAGTGACCTACGATGACAGTGGAAAGAAAGTTGTGGATAAAAGTGCAACAGTGTGCAAGCATTGTGCAACACGTTTTGTTTATGCTAACAGCAACATGACCAACATGTCATGCTAACCCCGAAATCCCACATACTCAGTCAGCGCTTCGCTCCACCCGCTGCGCTCCAGACCGCCTGTACAAAGCAAAGCCTACAGCCTCCGCTGTGTCTCCCGTCCGCTCCGCTCTGAGTTCCTTGTAGATCGTAGAGGACATGCGCGAGATGATTAAATTCAAAGCAGCAAAACATGCGGATATGATCCATGGTTTCCGCGAATCATTAAAAATAATTGCAATTCATTAATTTCATTAAAAAAAAATTTCATTAATTTTTATAATTTTTATTTTCATTTTTCGGTGTAACAATAAACATATACCCAACCGAACCGCAAACCGTGGCCCCGAAACCGTGAACCGAACCGAACCGTGGATTTTGTGAACTATTCCACCCCTAATATGCTTCTTTTTCATATAGGTAAAGCTTTGACCACACCAGTGCTCCCATCACCAAACATTACCTCGTGCAGTATTTCAACTCAGTCTCTGATGGCCATCCCTGTTCCCATGGTCACCTTCACTACTTCCTCTCCTGCAACAGTGAGCAACTCATCCACCTCCAGCACCACCACAACATCATCATCTTCCTCCACTGCCTCTGCCACACCGACTTTGAAGAAACAGCGCCCTCTATTGCCCAGGGAGACAGTGCCTGTAGTCCAGAGAGCCGTTGTGTGGAGTCCTGCTGCAAAGTTTCAGACTTCCTCCCAGAAGTGGCACATGCAGAAGGTGCAGCGTCAACAGCAAACCCAGCAGCTGGTGGTGGCCCCTCAGACACAGGCGTCCTCTCCCAGACAGAGCCGGGCTCAAGTCCTGACCCAGACCCAAGTAGCTGGGAATGGCTCTGCAGCTGTTCCTTCATCTTCATCCTCAGCTCAGCAGTCCTCACAAAGCTCTCGCTATCAAACCAGACAGGCGTCTAAGGGTGAGTGATACAGCTTTCATCATGAGCTTCCTTCTATCCATCTGCTTTTCCATAACAATGTTGCTTGGGTTCTTGCATTAAGCTGTCCACCAGAAAGACCCTCCCATCAGCACATCCACACCAGCTGGTACCCTGGTATCAAGCAGTCCAGCTTCTGGTACCACGGTCGCCCCCTCAGTCTCGGGAACACCTGCGTCATCGCCGGCTGGAACAGACCTGTATATCCCCACTGCTTCTGCAGATGTGGCTGCGGACATCGCAAAGTATACAAATAAAGTTAGCATCATTATTTTGGCCTAATCTACATGACTTACACACATAACACCCATAATTAAGAATTGGTAAAAGGTTTCCTGCTTCCTCATTACAGAGAATTTTGATGTTTGACACACTGAACTTGATTTGATGGATTAAAACCTTGAATACTTGTGGCCTTTGTTACAGTTTAATTCAAATATTTATAAGTTAGTCAGATTAAGATTATAAGTATGCCTATTTTAATGAAAATATTTCTTTCTTTCAGATAATGGATGCAATAAAAGGTACAATGACTGAAATTTATAATGACCTCTCTGAGAGTACGTCAGGGAATACAATAGGAGAGGTAGGTGTTTGCTCTGGTCTCTTTTTTCATGTAATTAATAACAACTCCATAATGCCATATGAAATTATAAAAAAAAATTATTACATTTTTTACATTAAGTCTTGCTGCAATCTCAATGCATTTTTGGGGATTCTATATTGGTGATTCCCAATCAGGGGTGCTCATCCCCCTAGTGATCTGCAAATGCGTTGCAAGGGCTAAAATAAAATATTTGATCTTTTATGTAGTAAAAAAAGAAAATGGGGCTGGGATCTGTTTTGCATTCTGAGGACCAAAATAAAAAAATAAACAAGCTTTTATCCACCAAAAAGTAATTTTTCCTTATTTGTTTGAGTTCACCTTCAGCTTTGATTTAAATCAAAACCAAGCAGAGGAACAGACTGGATATAGAGAACAGCCTGGTATCTTTTACACACTGAGCTATCAGAGCCCATCAAAGCAGCTCAGGTGTCTTCATTAAAACAAAGCAAAACCTATTAAGTCAGTCTGACTATAGTTTTGTTCTGTATTTTGTTCCAAATTCATCAAGTCTAACTGTATTTATAAGGGAGTTACTCAGAGGAGCTCCAGTTTTATAAATACAGGTTTATAATATGATTTTATTTTGTATTTATTTAAATTCCTTACTAACTTTCAGGCAACGTACTAATGTTTTCTTTTTAGATGGAAAGCATAAAATGCCTAAGAATGAAATGCTCAAAATAAAAGATTAAGTAAAATAGTTTTCATTTAATAATCAGTTATTGTACGTTCCACTTTTGGACAATCATCAATTCTTTTAACTGACAGGGGAACTCGTGGTAAAACAAAATTCTCAAACACTGCTGTATATGACAGACCAATACAAATTAGTGGCTGACAAATAAGAGGTCCAAAAAAAAAGATAATTTGAAAAGGTATTCAATGTGTATTTAAACCCTCTTAGTCCTAATTTAGGACCACCTTTCACTTCAGATACAGCAGCTTTAAGTTTTGTGAGTTATTTCCCTACAAGCTTTAACACATCTGCAGACTACAATTTAATTTCCACTGCATGATGGTGCCACTGCTATGTGTTTCTCATAGGAATGTTGTTGAAATCAGTTTTGCTGCTAAACATTTTCCACATGTTTAACAGCTTGTTTAACAGCTTGTTTTGTTTTTACTTCTCAATAGATTAACAGGTTTATGCACTGCATATCTAATAGTTATTATGTAGAAAGACTTAGCCATATGTCTGCAACTCTTGAGAGTTAGCATTTTTGGCTACTTTTCTGATTATTTTTTCCCCTTTTCCAGCTGGTTAGTTTGCACCAATGGTATCCAAAATATGGCCTGAGGACCAATTAAGGACATTTGGATGATGTTTGCAACCACAGTTCAATGATGACATAAATCTTGTTTAACAAATAAGACAGCAGAATCATGTACACATGTACAATAGTATTTTAAAGTTAAACTTTTTATGCTTCCAGGTCTAAGGAAATTACACACCGCATAGCAACAAGCCCATAAAGTTGTAAATATTTGCTGCAACACAAAGTCTATAGGATTTATGAACCAAGATTTGGTTCCTGTTCAGTTATTTGATTACATATGGGAATGCTAATATCCAGTGACTTTATAAATCTGGTTAAACAAAACAAGCGGGTCCAGTTTTGATTAAAATACACACACACAAAAATCCAGAAACACATAACTAACCTAAAAGAAATATAGATTGTAGGATGATATTTAGTGCCTAGTTTTGTTTTGCCTCTACCCTCATTTAAAGATCAAGATCTACTAAAATTTGACTAATTTGTCTCTTTCATTAAAATATTTGATGTTTTATTCAATTTTGAGCAGGTTAAAAATATTTAATGACTTTAAACTTGACTTCCAAAGCAGTTTTATGCTGATGGCCATGTCATAGTAGATTTGCAGCTGTGCCTAACCCCCTCCATTTTTGCAAGGTTTGAACTTTGCTCTATAAAATATTTAAAACCTGAGATCCTGCTTTTAACCTCTCTAAATGTCATCTCTGCTATGTTCCTGGGTCTTTATAAGCCTATTTGTTTTCTAAAAAAAACCTCTCAAACCAGAAACAGATCATTTTTATTCATACCAACATTAGATTACAAACAACTGGATCGACTCATTCATTACTTTTTGAAGTCAAGTGTATCTTAGTATTTCATGTAGGGGTGTTAGAGTACGGTAAATGGTGACTTTTCTGAAACATGTGAAATATCAGTGGTACAAGAAAGAAGTTTGGAATTGTAACCTGACAACATATGAGCAATTTTCCAAGGCACTGAACACGGGATGCTTTCCATATCCTGATATATCCTGATGTATTTCCTACAGATAAAACGGCTGAGAATCGAAATAGAAAAACTACAATGGTTACATCAGCAGGAGTTATCTGAAATGAAGCACAATCTTGGTATGATCCTCATGAATTTGCTCCTAACAACCTAGTATGTTTTCTTTCTGCCTACAATGATAAAAAAGCTTTCCTGTTTTGTTCGGCCCTGCCTATGTTCTCTGATTCAGAACTGACCATGGCAGAAATGAGACAGAGTCTGGAGCAGGAAAGAGAAAGGCTGATGAACGAAGTGAAGAAGCAGATGGAGCAGGATAAGCAGCAGGCTGTGGATGAGACCAAGAAGAAACAGTGGTGTGCTAATTGCAGGAAAGAGGCCATCTTCTACTGCTGCTGGAACACCAGCTACTGTGATTACCCGTGTCAGCAAGCCCACTGGCCAGAGCACATGAAGTCCTGCACTCAGTCAGGTACCAACATGCACCAGGGACAACAACATCAGGAAGCTACTGTTCCAGTCAGATGTTTACATACAGGAGTATCTTAATAACTGCAGTTTTTAATAAAATAATTATGCTTTCTAAGTTGATTGATAACATCTCGAGCAACTTTAGCTTTTTTTTTTGTTTGTAGATAATTTAAAATTTGCATAGATGTTCAGATACATGCATATGCTCCAATGAATTAAATTAAATTTAAAATATACTTTATTAATCCCAAAGGGAAATTAGATGAAAGCTTTTAAATTTCCCTGCATAGGGGCTAAAAGCTTTTTAAAGCCAGTATAATTCTTTTTGGATTTTTAACCACATTTCTTACTTCAAGGGGACGAAGTTGTGAACTGGAGGGATCAGTTTTCACCTTAACTTCGTACATAATAAACATATTTATAGGGGAGGGAGGGATGGAGGGAGAGAAGGAAGGAAGGAAGGAAAGAAGGAAGGAGGGAAGGATGGATGGAGGGAAGGAGGAAAAGAAAGATGGAGGGAGGAAGAATGGAAAGATGGAAGGAGGGAGGGAGCAAGGAAGAGAGGGGGGATTTGAAGGGAAGAAGCAAGGGTGGGTGGAAGGAAGGAATGGAGGAAGGATGGATTGATGGAAAGAAGGAATGGTTAAAGGGTGGATAGCAGGAAGGATAGAAGGAAGGAATGGAGGAAGAATGCCAAGAGGGAGGGAGAGGTCAGCGTTTACTTTAACTTCATACATAATAAACATATTTTTATTGTTTCTTTTAATTCCTAATTTTCTTTATTATATTATTTTGAAATCTATATAAATGCTTAAATACACTGTATGATTAGAATAATGAAATGCCCTATAAATGATTTAAAAAAGGGCAATAGAATAAAATAAAAATTTCGGTCTTAGCCCACTGATGAGTTCTGCTGTTTACAGAAGATGCTGTGGGCACCCCATAAGGCCCCCCGAGGGCCCCTTGGTGCCAATGGGCACCACGTAGATGACCCCTGCTATAATGGTTTTCAGTAACTTGAAGCAGAGGTGTTGTTAGAATGTGAATACATCTGGTGCTTTGCTTTGAATGAGCTGGATATTAAAACACCAAGAGCATAGTTTAGAAATTTTAAATGAAAAACATGTTGCATGTTTTCATGTGGGTCAAAGAAGGTTGTTCTTATAGTACAAGAACTTAGGCTTCCTCATCGTCTCACAACTGGGGGTCTTTCCTTATTCAGATCTTATGTACTACCAAGTTTTCATCATCGTCTATGATCCTCCTTTCCGATATCATAAAAAATCACTACAACATTTTGACAGAAATCAAACCCTAACTAGATTGGGTTATCTTTTTTTTTTTAAGATCTCATGAAATTTTGAAACTTGGCTGAGCACCAAATTACGTTTGATCTCTGAAACATGCTGCTCTTTAATTATCTCTTAATGACTATAGCTTTGTTAAAAATTATTATTATTTCTTTAGGTCTATGGTGGTTCAGATATATCTAACCTTTTAAATATTCCAGGGGGACAAAGTACATCAATAATGAATGAATGAATGAATGAATGAGTACAACACCCTTTAAACTGTTTCAACCAAAATTCTGACTTGTGTTGTTTTTTTAGCAACTGCCCCACAACAGGAACCTGAGGCTGAGCCAACAGCAGACGTCCCAAACAAAGCTGCCGGCCAAACGAACAGTGGCCCCAATCCCCTCAGAGATGCCCCAGTGTCTGCCCCATCAGAAAAAGACTGTGACACAGAGAAAAGTACTGAAAATCCTGCTGTGACCTTGTCATAACCCAGTGTGTAAATGTAAACTATTGTATGTTTTAGTACTATTACAGTACATTGTGTTTGGTATGTTCTTTGTGGGATTCTGTTTCAAAATAAGAAGTCAGTTCACTGTAATTTTTGTTTCTTCTACTTTTCCATGCTCATATATTGTCCTCTGTGAACAATGTGCCATAGCAATAGTGAGATTAGATAACAGTAATCATTATATATGGACAGATAAACAATTCTTGCATGCCCGTGGTACTGCGTGTTGCTTTATACATGTAGCCGTTAGTATAAATGGTCGAAAGCATGAATGGGTTTATAAACACATAAATACACACATTACTCAAAGAAAAATATTTATACTGTTGTAAAATACTACCTATGCTAATGGACCTTAATGGATCATAAATGAAGATTAAGAGACTTTTGGCTGAGATGCCGGTAAAATACTTTTTTGCATTCTTTTTTTTTTTCCAGTTATTTGTTGTGTAATTTAAAAGTATATATAAATACGTTTTAAAACTGAGTATACTGGTATATATTCAATTAATGTACGATGTTCCTTGATGCTTTTTTTAATAGCAATTCTACATTCAAGTAGAATGTCTCCATATAATTTCGGTTCAGTAAAAGGTGGTTCGTTTGTGCAAAATAAAAAAGCTGAACTTTCTGAGTCAACCCAGTTCACCTCCAGACCAGCGGGGGCGCTGTAACAAGAGTACCGTTTAATGTAAACCGTCAGCCATCTGCCGCAGTTAGCAGTAGATCCAGCGGGATTGGAAAATGGAGGATTGAGAATTGAGAGCGTATCGCGGCCTTTCTAAGAAGTTGGTGGGTACATGTAAAACATTTCAGCCTCATGTGAAAGAATATTTAGCGTTTATAGAGATTCATCAAATGTTACTGGATGCAATAATACAGTTTGAAGAAACAGACACTGAACAACGGGTTTCGGACGATAGCCAAATCAGTTAAGCTTTTCAAAATACCTGCGTCATTGATACCCTAAATGTATCCGACTGGACAGAGTGAGCATATTTATTATAGTGATGGTGTCTAGCTGTCGATGTTGAGCTGTGTCGTCCATTAAAAGAGTCCTTTGATGTTATAGGATTAAAACGTATTAGCTGCTACGTAGGTTAGCCTAGCTTGCTGCCTGCGAATGCACGCTCTGGGGTGTTCGGCACCACGTTGGTAGACCAAACCATGAAGTCTAACCAAAGAAAATATGCCAATACACCCTGTTGTGATAAAAAAAAATAGTTATGCGATCTTTGTTTTTTCATTTGAATAATTTGTAGCGTCTGTGACGGCGTGGTACTGATTATATTAAACTAGCGGCACACGATGGTTTGGCGGATTGTCGTTTTGCGGCCATCGTTGCATAATGCGATTGCAAAGCGACGTACGCTCCTTGTATAACGTTTTACTTTTCGATTATCGAAAAATATTATATTAATAAACATGTATTTATCGTACTGATGTTATTATGAAGAGTTAATTCTGCGCTCATGTGGAAGGCCGTGTTCAGCCCCCGTTTGGATTGCGCTTAAAACTGCTGATCGTTTGCTTCAGTCAACAGTTAGCTGTCATCACCCAGGGTACTTTAAACCGACGGAGGGGATTTGATGTGGGGAAAAATGCATCATTTTTGCGTGACATTTATTTTTATTTTGCTCATGAGCCCCTCCCATTTTACGTACCAACCGTTTGTCCTCTCGTTCACGCGGCCAGGAGTCGTGACCGATAGCCTTGCTACAGCGCTACGTTAGCTACAGCTAATGAGAACGACCTATTGATATATTGCATGACTGTTCTAAGACAATGTATGCTAATGTTTCCATTTATTAACCTGTCATTGTGCATTTAATTGGATTTGGTAAATTGTTCACTCTTATATTTCCAAACTGTTCCTATTATCCAGATGTTTTGACTTTAGACAGAGATATACGCGTCTTATTTTCTCTTTCCGCCCAAGTTTATATGAGCACCTGAGATTTGCTCTCTATGTGGGGATAACTTCTCCTTCTAAATCACCTTTCCTTTCTTTTCCTTGTTAGAACCTGCATCCCTCTTCTGATAATTGATCTGATGAAATTAAGTTTGACAAGTCAACACTACTGAAGTGCAGGTATGGATAACAACAAAGAGTGATGTCTTTGTTTTTAAAGGCTTTCTTATAAGAACAGTGTTTTTTTTTTGTTGTTTTTTTTTTTCACAGTGCAGAAAGAGTAAACGGTTATGATTAAGATTTACGTTTGGTACCGACAACAGTAAAATGTGTAATATAGGGCAAGCTGACAGAATTGAAAAACTCCTGGATTTAACATTAGAATTTAGCCTATTTAAAAACTAAAAGATCAATGTTTAAGATATAAATGATCTTTAAATTTTGCGGAGGGGAAGTCCACAGAATCTGTGCAGGGTTAAAGGGCTGGTAATACTCACACAGCAGTGTGTCGCAGCTATGATCCAGATATTTTTGATTTATGCCCAATATTGAAGCGTGGTCTGCACTTTGTTATTCCACGCCACAACGCAAGGGGGACAATCACAAACTAGCTGTGGGTCTAGATACAGCCGAGGCAGTGAGCAAGTGGAAAAACGCAAGAGGCAACGAAGGGACATGAGGGTGAGAAAGCAGGGATCTAGGTGGAAAAAGGGTCCCAGCGTTCTCCCGCATCTCGCTCTTCTAGCTGGTTCAACTTCACGAGTCATTTTCCACAATGGCGCTTATACAAACAAAACAAGCCGGTAAGGTACGAAGCAGGAAATATGCATAGTGTAGAGCACATGTAGATTTGACCAATCAGAGATTTCTGAGCTTTAACCAGCCTTAAGTCTGGTTTTTGCTTACCCCTCCAAAATAGTAATTGACCGCAGATAGGAGGTCTCTGATTACGCATAACTTGCATAATCAGCGTGCTTGCCCGTCTTGCGTTGTGGCGTGGAATAACTTAGTGCAGAACACGCTTCAATATTGGGTATTGATCAAAAATATCTGAATCATACCTGTGACAAACTGCTGCGGAGTATACACAGCTGTTTAGTTTTCTCACTTATTAAGAATAAATCAATGAAAGAAATATTTCAGTATTTGTCAGATATGAATCTGCAATACAGATAATATATATACTTGGGATATTTACCACAGTATTAATTTATGTACTATTATTTTTGATGCAAACAATTTAAGTTATAAACTTTTATTCTCTATTTAAAAAATCTGCTTCATTGCAACATGTTTGAGCTGCCTTTGTCTCTAAATATGTTGTGAGTATTAGAGGCATATTTAAAAGACATAGAGGGTTTCCAGCTCTGTATAGCTGACAACAAAAGTTGCTTAGTGACAGTCATTCTGAGATTTTGCTCTGGATGTCGTTGAAACAATCTCCCTCATGTTCTTTGTCTTTTAGATTAGGTGAAATATAATGCAATCAATATTTTGTCAAGTTGTCTTTCTTTTAAAATACAATTGAATCAGTGCCTTTAATGTCATAGTTCATTGGAATGATTCTTTGTCATTGCTTTTGCAGGCTATCAAAAATTGGCTAATGCACAAAAGCTGCTTTTCCAAATGAGTTTGAAGATGAAGCTAAAGAGTTGCTAAAGCAGCCAGCTGCACCTTTAAAGGCCCAAACCTAAAGTGAAGAGGATTTGGAGTTTCTGTTGGTTTTAACAGAGCAAAATGCCAGTGGAGACGACCGACAGTCCTGAAAACCGCTGCCCTGTACGGCGCAGTGGCAGGCAGCCCAAGCGAACGGACAAACTAGAGGAGTTCCTCATGACTGCCAAAAGGGGCTCCAGAAAAAGTGCTCCTCCTAGTGTTGAAAGTGGTGATCCCCCTTCCCAAACCCCAACAGATGCAGAAACGGCATCTGAAGCTAGTTTTGATGGAAATGCGGACTCCAAGATAGTAGAGGACAAAGCAGATTCTCCAGAGAGGAGGACACGAAGTAGTGCAAAGAAACAGGTGCAGAAGAAAACTCAAGGAGGCAGACAGACGAGATCATCTGCAGGGAGAGTAATGGTTAAAGAAGAGGGGAGCTCTGAGAATGAGGATGATGGGAAAGATGATAAGAGTGGTCAATCACAAGATGGCAGCCAGGGGATGGAAGAAGGCAAACCGGATCCTGCCTCTAAGGCTATAGAGAGCATCAAGGCAGCAGAGGACTCTGAGAAGACGGTTCCCCAAGAGACCAATGTAGGGGGGGCTAAAAGTGAGACAGAGAAGGAGACGGATGAAGAGGACACTGAGAAGTCTGAAGTGATGACTCGCAAACCAGTCAGGACCTATGTCAACAAGAAAAGGGTTTCTCAGAAGAGCCCCGTGGCAGCCAAACCTCCACCTGTAAGCAGAAATACTGTACCTGCTAAGAAGGAAGCAAAACCCAAAGCTGTTGGAAAAATTAGTAAACAAGAGACAACGGAGGAGGAGGACGACGATGATGAATCCTTCACTTCATCATCTTCATCTTCGTCCTCATCGTCAAATGAGTCCGACGACGGAGGCTACGACCCCAACGCACTATACTGTATCTGTCGCCAGAAACACAACAAACGGTTTGTTTCTCTCATTAGATGGTTTCTTTTACTCGCAGCTTGTTCGGTGTCTAGAAAAGAAGTAGCCTAAGTCTTGATCATCTTGTGTTTTGGGGGTTACATTGAGAAACAAATGTTTTTATTGAGACTTTATCTGCAGGTCCAACACAAAAGTAGCTCTTAGTTTGCCAACAAATTTGATAGATTCAAAAAAAATTCTTCAAAAATAAATTTATGAATTCAAAGTAGACGTATACCAAAAACCAATCAAACATATATTAAGTTATAACACCAGTATATTTATATGAATGCCAACAACAAAAAAAAACATATTATAATAACACTTTACAAAAACAAAATCTAATGTCATGTACAGGTTTAGTTTTTGTACATAAATCTTGCCTGTCTGAGGCTTTGTGAAGGTAAATGTGTATTTTGCATTGTCATATATTGTGTCACAAACCTAAAAGAATTATGTTTAATAATGGAGAAGATATTGCTCCGCTTTATATTTTTTTATTATATTAAAACAATTTTTTTCTGATGTGTTTATTTATGAGCAACTATGCAAATTAACAAACGTCTAGAAAGAGTACACTATATTATATCATTTTCCATGTCAATCTCAGATTGTTCTTCTTTGCCTTTTCTAAAAAGTGCTTTAAAGCCGTCCTACCTGTCTTTATCCATGCTGGGTCAGATCTTGACGATTGAAAAAGGAGGCAGGGAAGGCAGAATAAAGCTACGTGCTGCTTGCCAAGCCTTCTTGCTAGACCAGGTCCTGGAAAAGGACGTTTCTTGCACCACGTTTCTCTCTTTCTCTCCAATGCGTCTCCAACTCCCGCGACTCGAGTTGTCAATCAACCATCTGCGCTGTGACGGGAGGTAGTGAGCAAACACACTTCCTGTCAGCTCAGGGCGCTGCTCTCCTGCGCCCCGAGCTCTCCTATACCTTTGTATTGCAGGGGAGCTACTGCGCATTTACGAAAATACATCACTAATCCGATGAAAAATGGAGTTTAGTTTAGTTTATTTAGGATCCCCATTAGCTGTAGCAAGCTACAGCTATTCATCCTGGGGTCCAACAACAAAACATGAAATAAAAAATTACAAATGAAATAAAATTATGTGGACATTAAAACAACATCTCCCATAATCTATACATATACATATATACACATACATACACAAACTAATCAAAACAAACTACAAAGCACAGCAAGTGAAAAAGACTGTGTACTCCCTCACAGTCCTAATTGTGTTTTACCTCTATATTTAATAAATGTTCTTTCAATGATTTTTTAAAATTTCCTTAAATCAGTTATCAGTTTAATGTAATTTGGCAGTAAATGAGTGACACTTTACTAGCCATTAAAGATTAAATATTTATCTTGCACATCTAAAAAAAAAAAATATATATATATATATATAGAGCTATATTTCGAAATATTTTAAATTTTAATTTAAAATTAAATTATATATATAAAAGTTTTTTCTTAATCAGGGTCATTGGATGTGCGCCCTCTATTGGCCAGCCGCCACTGTTGCTATTTGCATGCAGGCATCTGGAAGCAGGGACTATTTGGGATTCCCCATTCCAAGTTTCAAGTCTTTCGCTGTTTTTTTATTTTTTTGTTGCTGTTATTTAGCTTCCTTCATCTCCACTGCCTTCTCTGAATAAAATGGTCCCTACATCAACCATGTTTAATCAGGGTTGGTGTGTGTTATAGACAGTGTTTTAGTATATATTTTTTTTTTCCATTTTAAATTTTTTTCACTGCAATCATTGTTTTTTTGCGTGTCCTCTGACCAGAGTGCTTTTCTTCCATGTCTACTGCTGTCCACATGACTTGTGTTAAATTGCAAACAGGAATTCTTATGGCTTACTAAACAAGGGCCTCTCTCTTGACTTCCTTTCATAAAAAGGACAAATTTAGTGTCACTAATGTCCCTCTACATTTTCAGATGATGGATTAAATATTTGTTCAGAAGAAAGCTGAAATTTAGTATATTTCCCTTTTAATTTCTAAGTGTTGGCTCTTTTGGTGTGGTTCTGTTTGCATGCTTTCAGAGCAGTTGGATTTATGCTGAAAGTATCACTGACATTGGGTTTCCAGGCTAAATAGGAAATGTCCTCTAGTTTTATTTAGATCTGCTACGTCATGTTGGTCAAACACAAAATCCCATTAAACATGGTAGGTGTAACTGAAGATGTGAGAAACCAGTGAATCTGTGTGTTTGTGCAGCACTACAATTCTAAATGCTTCTGTTAGCTAATCTCCACATTCACTTTAGTGAAGATAAGGCAAAAAAATCACCTTTGTTCTGCCATTTGTAGCGTTGTGAGAATCTGGTCTGTTTTATGTACGATGCTCCACAGGTTTATGATCTGCTGTGATCGCTGTGAAGAATGGTTCCATGGAGACTGCGTGGGCATTACCGAGGCCCGCGGACGTCTGATGGAGAGGAACGGAGAGGACTACATCTGCCCCAACTGCACAGCAAAGAAGAACCAAGTGGTCAGACCTGCCACATCTATCCTCCCTACGAGCACAGAGATGGCAAAACCCCGAGCCGACGCTGCTTCTCTGATTATTGCTCCAGCTGCTGCCTCCTCCTCTGTGGAGAAAGGCCCAGGCAGCGGGGCAGGTTTAAATCCGTCAGCTGTTCAGCCTGTGGCGCCCCCTCCGCCTTCCTCAGCAAGCGGGGCAGAAGAGAGAGCAGCTGAAGATCAGGGCATCAAAGGCAGGATCGAGAAGGCTACTAATCCATCTGGAAAGAAGAAGATAAAAATCTTCCAGCCGGTAGGTGACTGCTGCTGGAAACATCTGTGTCACTGTTTGTTGCTTAATGTCATGAGAGCCAACAAAAGAAATTCAACAAAATCTTTTATTGTAAAAATAGTTACCCAGATGTTGTCTTTGATATGTTTGTAGGCACATTTACTCACTGTTTGCACCAATTAAAGGCTATCATTTAGATTGTAAGCTTAGGTAAAAAAAATGGGGTGATATGTTGTCTGTTAATTTCATTCCACACTGATCTGAAGCAGGCTATTCATCAACCGGCTGAGCCGAAACCAGACAAAAACGCTGCTTCAGCTGGGGAGCCGAAGGTCGCATCCGCAGCAGAGCAGAAAGCTCCACCAGAACCAGAGCAGAGGGTTGAAACTACGGTTGAAGTGAACACCTCTCCAGTTGTGGAGGTGGCTGAGGAGAAGGCAGAAGATGACTCCTCCCTCCCTAAATGCATTGGTCCTGGCTGCGACAGCATCGCCCAGCCTGACTCTGTGTACTGTGGGAATGACTGCATCTTGAAACACGCCGCAGCCGCCATGAAATCCATCACTGATGTCAAAGAACCCAAGCAGAAGGACAAGCCCAAGCCTCAGAAAAACAAGGCTGCAGCAAAGGTAACCTGGACCACCTGAAATGGTTTCCCTAAAAGCACCTTTGTGATGTCTAATAAGAGTTAAAGAGAAGAAACCTTCCTTAGAAGCTGTAAATAACTCCAGATATGTGGTATTAAATCTTTGTGTCAGAGAAATGGATGTTTTATCTTAGCATCAATTAATACTTTGATTGTTTGATCTATTAAAATCCAGGACTTGAATGTAATTTAAATTCTACCTTCATAGATTTATTCTCACATCCACAGTTCAATCTCAGAAGGAGGAAACGGGTTCTAGGCTGTGTCAAGTCTGCTTATTGTGCTCATTCTGTAGTAGTTTTTAACAATACTCTAAGATAAGTAAATGAGGATTTACTGTTTAACTGAGACATCATAGCAATATCTTCAGAATATGAACATGTTTGCTCTGCATCACAAAACTCATCTTTTGGGAACCATTGAAAGTAAAATAAAATGAACCATCCCTTGCTTTTGTATGTTAAATCTTTGGAAAGCAGCCTCCAGTATTTCTTCTATTAAAAGAACTGATTGGATGCCCTATTTGCTAGGCTAGGGAATGGGTGCCATGCACACAGTTTGAGATTTGGCCTATTTGGATGGACTATCATTGCCTTTCCTGCCTGCAGAGGATGTAGCTTTCTGATGGCTGGGGATACTAAAGCCCACAGAGATTATTAAAGCCAGAATACAGCGGGTCAGCCATAAGACCATCATCTAACTATATTCACCAACTGTTCTATCATTTAAATGTTTTTGTTGTTGTTTTCTTATGATGTGGAACCCTCAAGTCTCATCTAAACAATTTTTTTGTGATTTCTATTGTGAGAAACAAGCTATTTTACTAATGCTGTTTTTCCTCAGATAAAGACTATTACAGGCTATCTTGTGATGGTATGAAATGTTAAAACTTGAAAGAAACCTAAAGGATTAATATGTATAACAATTTATTTCTTACCTTTTTAAATGTTTTATGTCCAAACCATTGAGATCCCAATAGAATTGATGTTGGTAAACCAGCTTTTGTTTGCCTGATCTTTTTTTTGTTTGTTTTTTATTACCCCGATTTGAACGTCAACATCAACTGTTTTTCTGCTTCCACAAGAAGAAAAACTGGTTCATTCAGAAATACACTTGAATATGACATAAAGATGTTTTTACAGCATTCTAAACAGATGATGGAGCACTTCTGTTTGAACTTATAACCTATTATTCACTAACCATTTTTTCCCCACAGCTTGTGAGCAGAGACATCCGCCGTGTTTTAATGCTCTGAAGCTCAGATTTGGTGTTCTTTAGTTTGATTGAACCTTAAAACAAGACGATAATCCGTATAGAAGTTGCATACAACTTTTTTTTCCCTGCAAACCTGATTTTAACTGAAATTTTAACACTTATTATTTTTTTTTATTGATAATAATAATAAACAATTGAACTTCATTGATCTCACATTGGAGAAATGTACCCCTGCATTTAACCCATCCCCTTTGGAAGCAGTGGGCTGCCATTGTGTGGCACCTGGGCAGCAGTGAGGTTAAGAGTTTTGCTCAGGAACCCGGAGTGGAGGCTGTGGGGATAGAACCGGATACCTGCAGCCCTCTCCGAACACAAGCTCACTGCTCCAACTCACTAGGCCAACATGTTTATATTGAAAGAACTTTGAAAATGTGGGAAGTTTGGATTTTTGGTGCAATATAAGCCGGATGTATAAATGCACACTGGTATAGTGTTGAAAAAAGGACGCATCTAAAAGTGACAATGAAGTGGATAAACTAGTGAAGACCAAGGAAGATTTTATTTGAAGTACAGCAACATTTAAGTTAAACATTTGTTGTTAAATAAAAAGGAGAAGAGATCTGATGCTTGTTAAAACACCTGGACAGCATAAAAAAGAGGATCCTTTCTATTTGGTTTTTGCTTTAAATATAATCTATATCCTGCTTATAATCCACCCCTTAAACTGTATTTTTAAGCAAAAATTGATTATAGTCCGTTTTTCTTCATATTTTGAATCTGAATTGATCTGGTCCATCATGCAGTGTTTACAAATGCAGCTGGCAGGGTCAAACGGGGGCCGCCCAGCAATCCTTTAAACGTGTCTCAACTTAAACACTGAGGGGGTAATCAAGTCAGTCTATTTGGCAGGACCCAATCAGTAACACAGTTAAACCATATTACTAGTTTTAAGTTGTTCTATCATCGGATGAGCAGAAAATATTCTTCATGGATTTTCAGTAAATTTTTCCAGGTTATCATGACTACCACATAATGATAAAGGTGCTTCTTCCTTTGGTCCAGCAGAGACTTAATCCTACCAACACCATGCTCTCTCCCTTAACTCTTAACATGTCTAGCAAAACTGTGATACCAGCTTAAATGTAATTTATAATGTTCCAAGCCGGATTCTCTCCACTCAGATTTTAATAATCAATACGGCTGCTTTTTTTTGTTTAACTTTGTCAGGTTTGCTGGAATAAACAATTTATTTTTGTAGGCTGTATCGCATTAAACCTGCAGCACAAATGGTACTGAATGATTTCTATTTGCTGTACCATTTCAAGCCAGAGAGAGAAATGTTAATTGTATTATCAGTGTTTGTGAAAACTTTTCTTTGAGTCCACCGGAGCAACTTTTGTCACATTGCTGAAGAAAAGGTCTGAATTAACCTTGTAAAAAGTTTTGTGGTCTTCTGATGAGCAGCTGATCTGTAAGACCAGATAAATGTATCATATTTTTTGAATGAAATGTATAAATGAATATAAGCAACTCTCCGACTCAACGAAACTTATGAACACGTTTTTGTCCTCGTCTTTCTAGAAGCCTGGAGGCAGTGGAAAGGCTCAGAAGAAGACCCAGAGGGTGTCGGACAGTAGCAGCGACGAAGACTTCAGTCCGGATCCAGATGAGGACGACGAAGACCAATATGCTGAGGAACACCCGCCGCCGCCGTCCACTGCTTCCTGGTCCAGTGACCATAATTACATTGCAGTAACACCAGAAAAGACTACACCCATATCACCAACAGTGTTAAACAAAAAGTGTATGTATCTCCTTGAAGGTCTAGTCCTGCTGTTTAAGCTGCATTGTTGTTTTTCTGGTATTTGTGTGGTTCCTCTTATGCTTACCTCAAGTGGAGAGAATCGGGTTTATCTAAGAGAGAACATCATGAACTGGTCTGTGCAAAGAAATCTGATCTAATTTATTTATTGCATAATGAATGTTTTGCAGCAGGTAAGTAAGAAGTTAAAGTGACTACTGTTAAAAGGGACGTATAACGACAAACTGCACTTATATTTGTTGGCTCAGGAGGAGCGCACTGAAGCCTGAAACTGGCAGCATTAAAATCTTAAATGCCTTATTTATAATAAATAAATAGAATATTAGCTTGAACACTGAGCTTTCTACCCCATGAGAGTACAATAATCACTCTAGCATCTTGGCTTATAATAACCACTTCAGAAATATTTGGGAGACACTAAAGGGGGGGGGAATGTTTTGGGCTTTTTAATTTATTTTTTAATGGGATAATTAGTTTGGTCAAATGAAGTTGATTTGCAATTAGGTGTCACTCTTGGCTTCCTTTAAGAAGTCTCAACGCGTCCCACAGCTGTGCCTCCTCCTGCAGGTAGGTCGGCGCTTCTGCAAATGGCTCATGTTGAGCTGGCGCTATTAGCAGTTAAACATCAACTTTTCTGCCCTTATTGTTTGGGGTTCTAAGATGTTTGAAGTTGTTGATTCATATTGAATATGGTACACCACTTTTCCTAAGTGACTGGCTTTAAAATAAAAGGTGATAAACTGATTTTTGGATGCCTCCATTGATTTTAAGCACTGTTGGCTTGCTTTTGGATGTCTTGACTGGTTCAGCTGAAGCAGAAGAAGTTTATATAAAAGTTATAATCTCCACCCACTGTTTATGGAAGAACGCAAGACTGAGAAGCACAGAGGGGGAAAAGAGCAGCTTCTGTGAAGACAAGATCCTGGAGATAAGTGAAGATCTGCCAATTTCACAAGGGATTGGAAGACTGAAGAGGACACAAGGAGGGAAAAAGCTGGCTTCAACAGTCTCCTAGATATTTCTGGAATGGATTTGATGCATGTAAAAGAGAACATGAGATAAGCTCTTACTGAAAACTTCCCTAAAGGCATTAACTGGATGGAGTATACAGTCAGGGTTACATAAGTATATGCTGTCAGATTAGGAAAGCAGTTTGTTCAGCTGTTTTTGGGCCACAGGGCTAAAGTAGCTCATTGGATTGTTCCCTAAATTTACATAATTTTATATCCAGAAAACAATGTTGGTGGTTTTCTGTTTTCTAGATAAGACATATACTACTAGGAGGTTAAAATCTAAGCTAGTGCTAGTTTGAACTCTACTTAAATGAAAGTTTGAGAAATGTCAAAGTGAGCAGATAAGGGTTTTGTTTTTCTACACAATGTGGTCCATTTAGATGAATGCTTTAGACACTGGTTATAAGTTGCTCAGCTATAAAAAAAAAAAAAATCATCTTCGAAATTAAGGTTAACTTTCTTAAATTATTTATCAGTCCAGTTGTTTAATGAATGTGTTGAACCCTTCTCTATCCACTCATAAATATCACATTGAATGTTGTTATTTAGATGTTTCTGCTAATAAGTACACAGACAGACTTGTTTTTCACATAATCTGTCTGGGTTTAAGAAGTTTGGATAAAGAACACATTTCGTTTATTTTTTTTTTTCAATTTATAGATCCATTTCAGATTTTTTATTTATTTTATTTTAAAGCTGGTTGGCTTATCCAGCGGGCGTTTACTTCAGCAGCCATTAATAAAATGTTTGGGTTTTTTTTTCGTGTGTGTGTTTGTCAAGATTTTAAAGATGTTGTAAGCATTGGACTTATGGCTTTCTGTCAGTGACTGATATACTGATTTAAGATGATCTTGATTCATGTTTCAAGATCAGTTTGAGCCATTGGTTCACAGCTGCTGATCTAGTGAAGATTGTGCTGACTTTTTAAAAACATTGGGTTCTGTTCTTGGTCTGCAGCTCCCCCCAAAGAAGAGAAGAAGACAGAGAAGGAGCAAAGCCCACCTCCTGAGAAATCAAGCAAAGCATCTCCGACTCTACGCAAAGGAAAAAAGAAATCCCCTGCACAAAAAAACACTGCCGTCGCCTCTAAGACCAAGAAGTCCTCTCCGCAAGCTGGCAGCTCGAAAGTCTCCAAGAAACAGACGGCAGCCCCGACTAAAGCTGCTGAAAGTTCCAAGAAACCAGGCAAAGCGTCTGCTCCAGCCGCATCTCCGTTTTCTTCAGGTCCCATTCATGCCACAGGGGCTATCAGAGTCACCAAGTCTAACTTCACTATTCCTAAAAAGCAGCCTCAACAGAAAGACTCCACTTCTCAGAGTCAGCCAGAATCTTCACGAGCACAATCCTCTTCAGCGTCCTCAACTCCATCCAGCCACTCCTCATCTTCCCGGTCCTCCCATCCACATGTACCAACCTCTCACACTTCACCTGTGAGGCCACCAGCTAACAACCAGATGAGGCAGAACATCCGACGCTCACTCACTGACATTCTCTTCAAGAGGTGGGTACCTTAGATCCAGATTCTATTTCCTTTTCGTTTTTAATGCTGGGATGTTTTTCTTTGATGTTTGAGAATGTCTTTTTTTTCCCCCTGTTAGGGTGAGTGACAGCGACGATCTAAAAATGACTGAAAGTGAGGTGGGAAGACTTGCATATTCCATTGAGAAGGAGATGTTCAACCTCTGCCTGAGTACTGACAGCAAGTACAAGAACAAATACCGGACCCTCATGTTTAACCTGAAGGACCCTAAAAACAAGGTGAGGCAACATGAACACACATGCTTGGGTGGTAAGGATTCATTACATCTCTACAAGGTAACAGCTTCTGTTTTGTGTTGCTTAGCGAACGATGTGATTGTTGCAGGGTTTGTTCTACAAGGTGATTGGCAGACAGGTCACGCCTTTCAGACTGGTGAGACTAAGTGCTGAGGAGCTGCTCTCCAAGGAAATTACAGAGTGGAAAAAGCCTGAATCTGCTGAGGTAACAAGCGTCTCTATTTAAGCTACAAGATTATCTTCTTGACATCACAATATAGTCTAACAATTAACATTGTCATCACTTTAGCTTCTTTCACATTTTGAGCTTTTTAATTTTTATGTAAAGATCCAACACAGGATGGTGCAAAGTTAAGATGTTTGTGAGCTGCTCCCATCACTTTGATGCTCCTTAGTAAATGTCATTACAGTAAATTTCCTTTAGTGGCCTAAAAGGCAGTGGCACTACCTTAAATACACCATTCTATAGGTAAAACAGAATGGTGGCTGCATTATGCTGTTGGGCTGTTTCATTTCAGCGGGACAAGGGAAGGCGGGTGGATATTAAATATAGGAATGTTATGGAGAAAACAATGAAAGTCCTCTAATTTTTTGTTGATCTGTGCTTTTATTTAATTGAAATTTAGTTGTTGGATTATTAAGGGAGTCACACCATTCCTTTGCTGAATGAAAATATCGGCATTATGGCACATCTTTACATTTTTTATCCTCAGGGTCATTCTCGGACCCATTCCGGGCATTCCAGACATGGAAGTAGGCCGGACTCTGGCTCCCACAGCGTAGACATGGAGGATGCTCCCCCATCTGATGCAGATGTATGTATCTCTGCCACTGTGTCATCTTTCCGCTCTGGTTCTTCTGCAGTAAGTGGGGGAAAGCTTCTCTTCTGCATCTTTCCTGCATGGAGTTTTTGCATGCCAAAATCTGAAACGTAGATTTCAAACATTTGCTGCCTTTTGCAACTTCCTCCTTTGTTTTTACCTTTATCTTACACACTAAAGTCTCATGGTAGTGCATACAAATTTGAGAATTGTACACGCAAAATTTGATGTGAATCCTCCTTTGCCTCCTTAGGACCAAGATGAGGCAGTCTCCACTCCCTTGGCAGCAGCCCAGCCGTCTGCTGAAGGGAACAGTGGCACCGGCATGGTCGATGTTTTCAGCAGCATGCTCAAAGACACAACTTCTGAACACAAGACTCATCTTTTTGACCTCAACTGTAAAATTTGCACAGGTAAGAAAGGTTACAGTTTGTATACTGTCAATGTTATTTACATTTTTCATTGTCAGATTAATGCTTTAGAACGTTCCTTTTAGGACAAAAGGCAGAAGATGAACCTGCATCCAAAAAAGCCAGGCTTTCTAATAAGCCAGACATCAAGCCACCAAGACAAGAGTCAAGGTCATCAAGGTCTGGAGACCCACCTTCTGCCAGCCCAGCAACATACCCTCCCCTGGAACCATTAACATCCCACCCACCAGTCCCTTCATCCTACCCCTCCAACACTGGACCAGTTGCTCCTGAAACTCCACAGCTCTATCAGGAGGATCCAAGCGTCATGGCGCCTCCCGCTCAGACCCCTGTGCTCGTTAGTCCAGCCGTCTCTTCTGTCAGCATCTCTCGCAGAGACCCTCGCATGGCTCGACTTAGCTCTGCTGTGAGCGTGGCGCCGCTGGCCCTTGAGAAACCCACCAGTAACACAACAGACTCGATCCCAGTACCAGTTCCTGTTACTGCTTCTGTTGCTCCTGCAGTGGATATTAAAGTACCTCTGCCAATGCCTCCAGCTCCACCTTCAGCGGTGGCTGTACCCAAATCGTCTAAGAAAAGGTGGTGTATCTTTTGGATGATATTACAACTGAAAATATTGATCTGTGATCTTCTCTTTAAATTAACGTTAAACACTGTCTAAAATGGAGTTGGTTTTGATTTTACAGCTCAGCTGAACCTCCTCCTGAGGGGGAAACGGCGATCTTCTTGCACGGCCAGGAGACTATATGGAAGGGATTTGTTAACATGCAGTCAGTCGCTAAGTTTGTGACCAAAGCTTATCTGGTTTCAGGCTCCTTTGAACACCTGAAAGAGGTATAATTCTCATATTTATATTAAGTAGATTTCATTTTATTCAAGTTTATCTAAACATTGGTTCTGTTTACCTTTGTCAACGGGGCACAGGATTTACCTGACACCATCCATATCGGAGGCAGGATTTCTCCCAACACTGTTTGGGACTATGTTGGAAAGCTGAAAACTTCACTCTCTAAGGTTTGTTTTATGCAAGAATAAATGGGCCTTGAGCTGCGTTTTGATATTCACATATATTGCTTCAATTTCTGTTTTTGTTCTTTTCAGGAGCTGTGTCTGATCCGTTTCCAGCCAGCCACAGAGGAAGAGGAGGTTTCTTATGTCTCCCTCTTCTCTTACTTCAGTAGCAGAAGGAGATTTGGCGTGGTAGCTAACAACAACCGTCGCATCAAAGACCTTTATCTCATCCCACTGGCATCAAAGGACCCTTTACCCTCCAAACTATTACCGTTTGACGGGCCAGGTAAGCATTTAGAAGGGATTCTAGAAATACTGTTGATGTTACTTGGTGTTGTTTTGGTAATAGTAATTACTGTGAATTTGTTTTTTGCTTTGTTTCTTTCAACATGTGGTGAGTATATATTTATGTTTCTGACTGGAATGAGAGCTTTTTTTTAACTGTAGAGGGTGCTCATGCTGCTTTTTGAATCTACCAACATGTTTGTATTATCTTCTGTATTCTCCTTTGTGTATATGAATTTGTGTAACACATTTTCAATAAAGATTTCCTTACAGATTGGTGCCTTATCATCCATTCTCAGTCTGTTGTTTCTAAAGATTTAAGTCATATATGTGTTAAATACTTATCTGATGAATAAATTGCTTTAAATTGAGTCGTCAGTCAGTCTTTCTTTTAAGCTGCCGCCCTTGCGATGAGATGCTTCACTGCAGAGGAATAAAGATGTATTCAAAGGTTTCAGTCTAAACAAGCAGCAACTAAAGTTTTTAGCAAGTGGTTAATTAAAAGGAATCCAATGAGTTTAACATCAAATTATTGTGAACCGTTTCAGAACAGATTTAAAATGATAACAAGCACCCTTTAAGAGGAATATAGGTGTTTGCATATGTGCATGTGTTATTAGTAATATAGACAATTCTATGCTGAGTTTGTCGCATCTAATGCAAGATGTGCAAAAGCCTTAGTTGCTTTGAAGAATAAAATTTCTCACAAATTTCAGATAGTTCACCCTTACTGAACTGTTCAGATGCTTCAACAGCAGAAACAATACTTCCTATTTTATTTAAGGCCTGAACTGCCGATTTCAATCAATTATAAAAAAAAAAAAAGAAAATGGTTGCTGTTGTGGTTGTAGATCTGAATCCAGCAGAAAAGGAAATTACAAAATGTACCTCTTTGCGCCTTTAAGTCTCATTACTTTTGATTATTGTTACTGAACATAATTATCGATGTGTAAACTTGTTTGATTTCCTTATAGACTAGGTTTGGTTAATATTGATGTGTTTTATTTAACTGGGTAAAAGAAGGGAAAATTGGCTGGTCCAGTCTCTGAATTATAGTGTCTTTTATAAATTATTAAATTGTAGTACTCTATGTATACTCTTTATCTATATTTGCACTACTCTATTGTGTACTGTATATCTCCATTGCAGTGAAAAGAGCTACTCTTTGGTTCCTTTTTGTCTATAGAACTCTCGTTGCTCTCATTCCAGTCTTCCGTGTTTTAATATTGTTTGAGGTTTTTTGAGATGTATATATATATATTTTCAAGTTTATGACCTGATTGCTTTCTGTTTACATCTCAGGGCTTGAACCGGCTCGCCCCAACCTCCTCCTTGGATTGCTGATCTGTCAGAAGGACCGAAAGCGAGGTGGTGCACCAATTGAGACAGAGGAGAAACGCTCCAAGACTCAAACCAAAGACTCAGATGAACCTGGACTTCCAAAACCTGCCCCTGCAGTCAAATCAGACAGAAGCACGCGGCAGAGTCTTGAAATTCCCTTCAGCACAACTCCCCCAGGTTCGCCTCCATCCACCTCCTCTGAGACCCCTAGCAGCACGACAACTGCCCCGGTCTCTGTTCTCTCTTTGCTGTCGGCTATCAAAGCGCCAGACACCTCTGGCGCCCCAGGAAAGGATGCCACATCCAGCTCTGCTCCTGTCTCTGTAGCAGCTGCATCACCTCTTCAGACAATTCTTAAGATGGTCTTCAAGAACAAAAAGCAGGATTCAGATGCTTCTAACTCTCCGTCTGACCAAACTGGAGAACTCCCTGCCACTGCTACAATGTTAGACCCCATTGTTCAGCAGTTTACCCAGAATCCAAAGGAGAAACCAGTTGAAGAGGATGAAGATGACAGGCCGTATGATCCAGAGGAAGAGTATGATCCCAGTCGGGTCTTTAATGTGACCAAGAAGCATACTAACGAGTTAATCAAACCTGAGATCGTTAAGCAGCCTGAGGCAGTAGCAACTGAAGCCGATGATGTAGAGTATGATCCTGAAGATGATTCGATTTTTGATGAAGTAAATTCTTTGAAACCAGAACAAGCAAAGCCTGTAACTGAAAATGCACCTGATGCAAAGACGATTCTGGAAAATCTCAAAAGAATTGGAGAACAAGCATTGCAGAAGCAGGCAGAACAGCAAACACTGTCAACAGAGACGGCTGCTCCAGCTTTGATTCTTCCAAACACTCACTTACTGCAACTTGGCAAAAAGGTAGAAGAACTAGTTAAGTCGTCATCAGTTGCTCCTCTGACTAACCAGAGAAAAGATTTGAGACAGAGCAGGGATCCTCGTCAGGCTGTGGGCGATCAGACGCTGTTTGAACCTGAACATAAAGACACAGAGACAACTCCTCTAACGGAGCCTTCTCCCTCGGCACCCCTGGCACAAGACCCACTACAGCCTAAAGTGGAAGAAAACATTGATGCTTCACAAGGTACAGAGACATCGCTACCACAGGATGAGGAAAAAGATGACATACTTCCCTTCATGAAGTCAGAAGATGAAGAGGTGTCGATTCCTTTACTAGGAGAGAAAGTGGATCACGATATGGAGGTCAGCTACATGAGTGATAGAAAAAACAAAGCTAAGGAAGAGATTAAAGAGGAAACTGAGATGGACAAATACAGCGTTTGGCCAAATGCTGCAAGTATTTTAAAAGTCAGTCAGGATTCTGAGTACATAGAAAGTGGTCAAGATGTGTCTTCTTCAAGGTATCACAGAGAGTCTGCAGATAACTCCACTAGAACCTCTGCCATCCCAGTACTTACTCAAAGCACTATATCTGATACTCACTCTCGTCACATGTCGCACCATCAAACAGTTGGAGGCTTTGATAATGAGTACCAACCTAGAACTGACATTCCCTCCCAGTCTAGCTATCCCCCTCCCCACTCCATGCAGGGTCAGAACCTGATAATGAGGCCTCCACCTCCGTCCATGCTGCCACGCATGCAGGGTCCTCCTATGTCTGGTCCTCCTTCAATGCAGGGGCCTCCTCCAACTATCCACGGTCCACACCATAGTCATGCTCCCCCCCCACACCAAGGTGATGGCAACCAGCAATATGGCCCACCTCCACCATCCTACCCTCCCTACCAAAACCAGAACCAGTGGCTGAACACACAGCAACCGCCTCAGCAGCAGCAGCAGCAACCTCCTGGACCACCACTTCAGAATATCCTGCCACCAAGAGGACCACCCATGCCATTCCCTCCAGTTTCTCAAAGAGCACCTCCTCCCCAAATGTTTGATCCCTCCATTCCCCCTCAGCACATGGGACTACAAGGCCCACCGCCAAACATTCCCCCACGGCCAAATTTTGATGGACCGAACAGCGTACAGCCACCAAGATTCACAAGTCCTCTTCCTTTCAATTTCCCTGCTAACAGGGGTCCTCCTCCACCTTTCTCAGGACCACCACCATCTACACTCTTTGATTCTAGGCCCCCTCATCCTACACTCTTTCCAAGCCCCATGCCTCCCCCCCCCTCTCAGCAATATGGTAAAGACACTCCCAATAAATCCTTTAATCCCAGTATGGACCAGAATCCAAATCCGCCCCAGTATTTTAAAGAGAGTCTGGGTCCTCCAGGACCCTCTGCTTACCGTGGAGCTCCACCTGAACAGTATGAGGAGAGGAGAGGAATGCCTTCGGGCAGGGAATTGAGTGGACCACTCTTCAAACCACATAACCAGTATGGCAGTTCTAGGCCACCATCTTCACCACTAGAGCGTCGGCCTTTTGATGAATCCAGAGGACCCCCAGCTCAGGAGAATAGGCCCCAACTTTCCCACATTTCAGAACGATACCGTTTTGATTGGCAATCTGATGAGCCTAGACCTGTTCGCCATGGTATGCCAATGCTATTACCTCCTTCAGAAGGATCCTATGGCCCTCCAGGTCGCCATGGAGCCCAAAGTCCAGACCTACAGAGAGAGGACCAGTGGCGGCGTCTTTCTCCTGATAGGAGGAGAAGCAGCACCACCCACGAGGATTTGGAAGCTCGCAGCGGAGAACGTGGAGAGCGTTTGAGCCGCTTTGAAGTACCACACAGAGAACTTGGCTCTGGCTCACAGTCCTTAGACGATAGACAGAGAGAGCTTTCTGAAGACCGCAGGAGGGAAAGAGATAAGGAGAGTCCTCATGGTGGCAGGTCTTCCTGGGACAGGGGGGTAGGAAAGCGCTGGAGCCGGGAACAAGATTGGGACCGAGGCAGGGAGAGAGACAGGGAAAGGGAGAGGGATCCAGAGCGGGGAAGAGAAGGAGAGCGCAGCAGAGGGAGGGATAGTGAGAAGAGCAGAGAGCCAGAGGGAGAGAGACAGAGGGATCAAGACTCTGAGAAAAGGAGGGAGAGGGACAAGGACAGGGACAAGGAGAGGGACAGGGACAAGGAGAGGGACAGAGACAAGGACAGGGACAAGGAAAGGGACAGAGACCGGGACAGGGAGCGAGACAGGGAGCGAGACCGGCCTAGGGAATCTGACCGGAGAGACTATGACCGTGACAGAGTAAGAAACAGAGACAGAGAGCGAGACAGAAGACGAGATCGCTCAAGAAGCAGAGACCATGACCGGGATCGTGGAAAAGACCGGACAAAAGACAGAGAAAGAGACAAAGAACGGGAGAGAGAGCGGGAACGAGACCGGGATCGTGACAAAGACAGAGATCGTGACAGAGACCCGGACAAGAGGAGCAAAGAAAAGAGGTCGGACAAGAAAGAAAGTAAACGTGAGGCATCCAAGGAGAAAACTAAAAGCTCAGACAATGACAAGTAGACTTCAACTGTTTATAGACCTTTCATGTACTTAATTCTTCATCCAAGCATCACTATTAATGTGTACGAAAAGTATTTTTGTTGAATTTCATTTTCCAAATAACTTAAGTGGAAAAGGCTCTAAAGGATATAACAACAATCTTTATATTCTTTGTCACCTTAAGATTTGTATGTTTTTGTATTGCCTCCAAGTTGTTTTGGGAAAAGACATGGAGTAGTCCACCAAATCCTGACAGATTTACCCTTTTCTTGGTTGCAAAGTTTTTTGTTTGTTTTTTTCGGTGGAAAAAAAGTGATTGATCTAGATACCAATTACACTATGTAAATATGCACATATTTCTGTATATACTGATGTTTTTATCCAAACTTTTCTAAGTGGAGAAAGTAAAAGCCATATATATGAGGTGGAAAATGTAAAGGTTAAGACAGTGCTGTGGAGACGCGTCCAGCAGCTTTGAACTTAAAGCTTTTTATTAACAGTGTACATTACTTAGTGTTACTAAAAATGTCCAGTTTGTCTCAGCTCAACCGATTAAACCTGTCTTCTAAAGTTTTTGGTTATTGTTTCATTTCTTTTCCACTCTTAATTTAAACAAGGAGGTATGTCGTAATTTGCATGTATAATATTTAACAGCTTTAAGTATCAAAGTTCATGCTGAAGTTTATAGCTGCAATTTTTAAATGGATGAGTTATTATATAACCCAGTCTTGAAGCTACACTAAAACACACTGGGTGCTAAAGAGTGCTAAAGCTCCAACCGAAGTTAGAAGATATCCATAATTTACGGAAAACCCTTATTTGTGATTTTATTTGTACTTTTTTAAGCCTGAAGTCTTTATAATGGTTGTAAAGTACAAATTTATAATCTATGAACTGGAGACTAATATCAGCTGTCAAACTTCTAGAGCTCATACTGAATCTATTCAATCTACATAAAAGAGCTTCTAGATGATCCACCTTCAACATGTGTACAGCACAAACCCACAACCTATTATAGCAGAGTATAGGTTAATGTTTCTTTTGGAGTTAATCTAATACAGAGAACAATTCCTCAACTCATGCTTTTTAGTGATTGAAAAACATGGAAGCTAAATATAAGGAAGAAAAATGATAGGAAAAAGTATGCGTGTTTTTGTATGTCAAACTCAATACTTTATTCTTTCAAAAGGGAAATTAAGTTGAATTTTGCCCTTAAAGCAGCCTCCCACCAAAGATTCACTCATACACAAGGAAAGCGTTCTCAACCACGGATGCCTTTAGGGAATCTACCAGCTTTGCAGATCCCAACCCGCCTGATCTGAGACTGTATGAAATGTCCATATATCAGGGGTCTTTGTTGTTTTTCAGTTATTGTGGTCTTTATAAAAAATGTTTCTTTTGGGGTGGGATGTCAGTGTATTAGCCTCCTGTTGTGCGGCCTAAGCTTTTCTTATTCACTCTTGCTTTTATACTTTAAGTAGTTTTAAAATAGGTATTTTTATTCTGTAAAGTTGAAGTTTATATTGCAACTTTTATTGAAGTAATAAAAAACACATCTTCACTTCTATTTGAGTAAGTAGAAGTCCTCAAAATCAATACTTTTGACAGATCTAGTAAACTTAGCAAAATGAAGACAGTATTTTCTCAATAAAATACATTTCCCTTTAATGAGAAAACACTATGATTTAAGGGCAAGCAATATAAAGGAAAAAGGAACAAGGAAACAGTTTTAAGTAAAAGTAATCACAGGTTTATACTCACATTGTGTCTTCTGTGTCTATGGTAAGACCACTCTGTCCAAACATCTACATTCAGTGCAAACAACAGGTCTAAGGGAACCTCTAAAAATCAGCAAATATTTACTATGGTTATGTCTCAAAAACAGCCTTTATTTTCTGTTCGGTGGACGCCTATAGACGTTAAACTCCATTATTCAATACTTTACATCCTTTTCGATTTTAAAAATGCATTTCTTTAAGAGGTATCACAAAATCCTTTCTTTGCTTTAAATCTTTCTTGAAATGTGGCACCAACTCTTCCATTTCTCATACAGTTCTGTTCCACCCGATGGCCTAACCAAACATTCTGGACTTTCTTTGGGCACCATACAAACTCTTCTTTGGGCTCATAGTGCTGAAAGGCAAACCTGAGAAGCTTCCTTCGTTCTTGCTTGCTAAGGACAGCGAACACAAAGTAGCTCAGGGCGCTGTCTTTGACATTTGGAAGTTCTCCTTTAACAAGGGTCTCCTCCAGGAAGAACCTAACCAGTGGATATTGGAACTTGGGGTATCCAAGGGTTCCCAGGCACTTCAGGATGCGGGTGATGGGCAAGTTGTTATGTTTGTGACTAAAAGAAAGTAGGGTCAAAAAAGGAGTCAGATTGTGGCAAAAAAAATTCTGAAATCCTTTTTTTGGTATTCAAATGGCTCACCAGTTGAGGTTCTGGAACCTTTCTCTCCAGTTGGATGCTCTCTGCACATCTCCTGTTTTCTCATCTTTTAACTCGATGCCATAAAAATCCAACATGAGCTTGTAGGACCTCAGAAGATTTTGTTTTGCTTTCTCGCTATCAAGAAACTCCTGAAGGAAAAGCAAACTCATTATTGAAAACCTATGTGAAATTAGCTTTTTTTTCTTTCAAATTGCTTATTTTAATCATTACCTGAATTTCCTCCTTAGTTAGAGTTTTGGCTTGATAGTTCATCCCTGGTTCTTGCAGAGGAAACAACCTTTCAGATAAAGCTTTAATTACAACCGGGAACTAAAATATTTCCATAAAATCTTTGCATTGGATAGTACCTTACCACTGAATAAAGGTGTGCACACGCTCCAGTTTTTCATACTTCCCATACCAGTACTGGTGGAATTCATTAATTTTGACACCTGATGAAAAAAGAATGAGGTGGCACACATACATTAGTCTTAGATTATAATATCAGTTTGTGAGTTTTCTGTAGCAGTATCAAGAAACTGCATCCAGTAATACTTTGTTTTATTAAACCCCATTCTAAATAAAAATGTATTTTATCAGCAAAGTGGAAATTACAATCCCTATTTTTGACAAAAGTATCTTTTTACAGATTATAAAGATGGACAGATCGCTACTCAGACCCTATGGATCCACAGTATAGCACAGTGCTACGGAGTATCCAAAAGTATTTATCCCCCAAAATATGAAAAGGGTTAATTATTATTATTAGTTACATATTTAAAAATAAAAATGCAAAAACGAAAATCCAAACCGATGTGAAAAGTAATTTCTTGGTCAATTACGAACGATCGTTGGTGAACCACATTTTTGGTTCAATTTCATTACTCATCCCTGAGTAATCCCTGAACATAGCCTTAGAGGAAAGTTAATGAGAAATCAAAAGAGACAGACAATATGAATGGTAACAAAAGAGCCCAGAAAAACTCCTTAAGAGGTTAAAGGGGAACTTCAGTGTCAGATCGCACCAACCATCATAGTCTGAGCCAAAGTAGACTTAATGGGGGACCACCAAGGAGGACACCATTATTGAAAACAAATGATAAAAAAAGACAGGGTGGAATTTTCCAAACTACATTGTGACAAGCCACAAAGGGTCATATTGAGAGATGAGACAAAAATTTATTTTTTTCCCTACAGAGGGACAAATAAAGCAAATCCAGAAAACAACACTGTCCCTACAGTGAAACATGGAGGAAGCTGTGTTATGTCCTGCAGCTGTGTGCTTCATCTGGCACAGGGCGTCAGGCAGGGCATAATGAATCCTCAAAACTATCTATTGAGAAATATGATGTCCACTGGTGAATGTGGCGTCGGATGTGGAAGTTTACCTCAAGGTTGTTGGTTCAAACCTCTGGTGTTGTCCTTGGATAAGCAATTTGATCCACATTGCCTACTAATAGTGGTCAGAGTGCCCAGGGGGCTGGTGTATGGCAACCTCCTTTGTCTCAATGAGCTTCAGGCTTCATTTTGGCTTTTATTAATTCTAGTCATTCACCCATTCAATGTGTGAATGTAATGCAAAGCATTTTGGAGTTCAATGACTTGAAAAGGTGCTATATTAGAATAGGCTTGGTCTCAGTTCCAGGTCATGGATACAACAGGATAATGATCCAAAACAAACAGTTAACACCGATGAATGGAAAAGAGGAAAACATTGAACTACTCAGAACCCTGACCTAAATCGTGTTTCAGCAGAAACATGCTTACTGGAAAAGGCACCCTTCAAACCTGTGCAAACTTGAGCAGTTAGCTTATGAGAACTGGGGAAAAACACCATCTGATAGGTGCAGCAGTCTCATTGAAAGTTACATTAATCATGCGATTGTCTCAAAATAGTTTGCCCTTCAAAATATTAAGTTAAGTGTAGCACAATGTTTGTCCAGACATTTTTCATGAGTTCATTTCTTAAAATTATTTCACTGAAGAATGGTTGAAAAGTAATTTCTGACTTTCATTTATTCATTTTCATGAAATTTACATTTATTACAAATTTTATTATTTATAACTATTTCCGTGACAACTGGGTTTTTCCTTTCAGTGAACGAGGGGTACCAACAAATGTGTGTGTTAAAAATAAATCCTTTACAGTCCAGGCATCAACTGTAACTTTGTGCAAGGCTAAAATTCAAAGGAAAAATGGTTGAATGATGCTTCTCCTTTAATATGAAACTGTCATTTAGTCTTGTATTTTCTCATTATTCAATTTTTTTTTCTTGTCATCCCAACTGTTGTCACATAAATGATAGTGTTAGTGGCAGACCTACCGTCTGGTAAAGAAGGTGTGTTCCCGAGGTAAAAGTTCAGATTGGGCTTTCCATCCTATTCAGGAAAGAAGGATTTTATTATAACATGTTTTTTTTTGTTTTTTTTTTCTCACTACACTAAAACAAAATTCACTTTAAAAAATGGAAATCTGCACGTACATGTTTCAGCTGTCTAAAGTTCTGTGTCTTTGGTGGGTTCTGTGTGAAAAAAAGTTGCATAATAATAGTGCAGTAACAGCAACGTGGTGTGTGAATGACTTCATATGTCAAACCTACTGGATAGTCATGTCTGTAGTTCCACATGTCTCTGGCAGCATTTTCAAACACTCTGAATTTGTACTGAAGAAGAAAACCAAACACATAATTATACCAATATTTGGTACAGTTCTCCAGAAAAACAAAAAAAACAAAAAAAAACATACAAGCAGGAAGAAAGTCAAAATTTGATTTATTGCTGCAGAAAATGAATCAATGTAGAGCAGCAACCCGAAGCTGTACACCAACTTACATTTCTGTACCCTCTAGAATGGGTGGTCTCTAGAATGAGGTGCTCTCCTTCTCTTTGGTCTCCCAGGTTGAATCATAACCACAGTAGAACTCATCTGCTCTGTCAACTCTGTATTCATCTCCAGCAAAATCATCCTCTTCTTTAATCTCAGGCTGCAAGTTAAGGAGATTGCTGCTTTCTATGTTCCAGCTCATTTCTGCTCTCCACTCACCAAGGCGGCGGTGGACAAAATAGGGACTAAAGACCTGGAGTTGATTATATCAAGATAACCAACAATTGGCTCAGGTCTTAACAGGATATATATACAAGCAGGAAAGTAGTCAACCGTGTTTTCATCTGTGCAGTAAAGTGAAACTATTCCTGACAGGAAGTACATGGATAGTAGCGCTGTAGGTCAGCCCACGTTTCTGTTCTCTCTAAAAAGTTTTTCTTAGTTTGTCAAAATTGTTTATTCCTTTGTGTATAGAAAACAGTTGCGCAGTTTGTTTCACCCATATAATCTGTCTTCTAAAGTTTGAAGGTTATTGTTTTGTTTTTTCCTTTTTAGTTAGTGGCCAAATAGTCAAATGGCTGTAAAGTGCAGAGGCTAAGGTTTTACTGCTCTGCATGTATAATATTTAACAGCTTTAGGGATGATAGTTTACGCTAAAGGTATCCACAGATGCAATAAACTTACTCAGGAAGTAAACGTCTTCCATACAACAAAAATTATGAATGAAGTGACTTTGAGTATGTCTGAACTTCTGAGTGGTGAAATAGTTTGTTAAAATATCAATTTTACCAGAGAAAAATATAGGTTGCAAATGATAACCTCTGCATCAGTAGTTCTCAAACCTTCTCAAGTTCTACTACCCTGCATGTTTTAGATGTCTCTCTATTGCAGCATAACTAATTAAAATGATTGCATGACATCCCCAGCAGCCTTCAGGTGCTTCAAAGGGCTGTCAACCTTTCTTTTATATAGGACGTGTGTGTGGCAGTCTGGAGAAATCTAAAACATGGAGGGCAGTGGTACTTGAGAACTGGGGTTGAGAACCACTGCTCTAGAGCCAGTACTAAGAGGAGACCCATGCCCCACCTGTTTTTTCCCCTTGGTGCTAGGAAACTGGCTAGAAAATTGTGCTTTACATGCCTCCATCCTGTCTGGAACCCTGTCCAGAAAAAACAGTTTTTAGCTATATAGGATGACCCTTCGTAAAGCAAGAGAAGCATATTTCTCCTCATTAATAGAGTAGAATAAGAATAATCCTAGGTTTCTTTTTAACACAGTTGACAAACTTACCCAGAGCCATAGCTCTGTTGAATCATCCATCCACCTGCTCTTAGCAGTAATGATTTTGTGGGATTCCTTATTAATAAGATTGATTTTATTAAAAATAACAAAACTGGGATCCCTCGAAATATGAATGGTTTATATATTGGTTAATATTTTGGGGAGTGGCGGCCTAGTGGTAAGGGAATAGAGCTTGGAATCCTGAGGTACTCACTTCGAGCCCCACTCCCACAGACTGCCACTCTGGGTCTCTGAGCAAGACCCTTAACCCCACACTGCTCCCCAGGCGTCCCACCATGACAGCCCACTGCATCCCCAGAGGATGGGTTAAATGCAGAGGTGAATTTCTCCAATGTGGGATCAATAAAGTACAGTTATAGCTATCTCTGCAAATTGAAGCAGCATGTAAGGTAAATATAGAATCTGAACTAGGTTTCGTTGAAGGTCCAGTTGAACTTTAAGAGTTAGCACAATTATTATCTTCATCTAAGCCTTCAACTTGTATTTGAGATCTTGTTCCAACCAAGTTATTTGAAGAGATATTCCCTCTGATTTTAGATATGATTAATCAAGCCTTATTACAGGGATAGGCACGTCAGTTCTTGCAGTAGCTCTAATTAGACCTTTACTTAAGAAACTGTCTCTTGACCCAGGTGATTTGGTCAATTATAGATCTATATCCAATCTTCCTTTCTTATCTAAAATTCTTGAGAAAGTAGTTGCCAAACAAGTGTGCGATCACTAACACCATAATGAACTTTTTGAAGAGTTTCAGTCTGACTTTAGAGCTCATTATAGTACTGAAACAGCTCTTTTGAAAGTCACTAATTATATTCTCATGGCCTCAGATAATGTACTTGTATCTTTACTTGTCCTCTTAGATCTCTGATACGGTCGATTATAATATTTTTGAAAAAGTTGAACGTTCTGTAGGAATAAAGGGAACAGCACTAGGCTGTTTAAATATTATCTGACAGATTTCAGTTTGATTATCTTAAGGACAAATCTTCCTCATGCCCCAGGGGTATCTGTGGAGTACCACAGAGATCAATGCTAGACTTTGACTTGGCCATTGTAACACCTGGATATGTTTATTTATGAACCATTCCATTGTAGATGTTGCTTAAATGTTTTGGGTCATTGTCTTTTTGGAAGATAATTCTCTGTCCTAGTGTCAGGGTCCTTTGCAGACCCCATTTTGACTCCATCCATCTTTCCATCAATATTTCACCATCTTCCTTGTCACTGCTGAGGAAAAGCAGTCCTAAACTACGATGCTGCAACCTCCAATTTTGACAGTGGGGATGGTGTGTTCAGGGGGATGAGCTGTATTGCTTTTATGCCAAACATAACTTTTTGCATTGTTGCCAAAAAGTCAAATTTTAGCTTCATCTGACCAAAGAACCTTCTTCCACATGTTTGCTATGTCTCCCTGATGGCATGTTACAAACTTTACACAACACTTTTTTCATTTTGTATACAGTGTAAACGAAACAAAATTTCGTTTTGTACAGCTTTCAGACAGTAGCTGAGCAGCAGCTTAGCAGCAAAATGAACACTTTTATTTCATTAAGTGCAGCAGTGATCAAAAAACGTGGCGCAGAAACGCACTGCAGTGCAGTGGAAGTTCAGAGCATTTCAAGGCAAATATATATGGTGCAAATATGTATGGTGTATCTTTGATCTTTCTTCTCCTACTTTGAGTTGAGAATTTGGTGCTCCTTGGGATGTTTAAATCTTTTAAATCTTTTTGTATCCAAATCTGTCTTTATACTTCTCTACAACAGCATCTCGAACCAGCCTGGTGTGTCCCTTGTTCTTGATGGTGCTGTCTGCGTTTTAATCCGACCTTCTTCTTCTTCTTCTTCTTCTTCTTCTGTTATTTTTTTAATCAGACCTCTGAGACGATCACAGGGCAGGTGCATTTACACAGAGACTTGATTACACACAGGTGAATTCTATTTATTATCATCATCAGTCATTTGGGCCGACATTGGATCATTCAGAGATCCTCACAGAACTCCTGAAGAGCGTTTTCTGCACTGAAAGTAAAGGGCCAGATTAGTTTTTTATTTGTTGAAAAAGTTTCAAATATCCAATAAGTAGGGCTGCACGGTGGAGCAATGGGTAGTGCTGTTGCCTTGCAGCAAGAAGGTTCTGGGTTTGATTCCTGGGTTCTCTTAGGGGACTCTGGCTTCCTCCCATAGTTCAAAAACATAACTGTTAGGTGAATTAGCCTCTCTAAATTGTCCTTAGGTGTGAGTATATCCATGGTTATGTGAGCATGGTTATGTGTCTTTGTGTGTCTCTGTGTTGCCCTGCAGCAGACTGGCGACCTGTTCACGGTGTACCCTGGCTTTCGCCCGTAGGCTGCAGGAGATAGGCGCCGGCCCGACCGCGACCCTGACAAGGACTAAGCAGGAGAAGAGGGATGGATGGATGGATGGATACCCAATAAATTTCATTGCACTTTATCATGGTGTCCCACTTGTTTTTGGTTCTTCACAAAAAATAAAATTTTAAATCTTTGTTTGAAGCCTGAAATGTGGCAAAAGACCGAGAAGTTCAAATGGGGAAATACTTTCGCAAGGCAATGTATGTTTGTTCAAAAATTCAGATGAAACTAACCCATTACATAGACTACAGGCATACTCGTAATTTTATGCTTCTGAATGCAGACAAAACAGAAATGATTGTGTCTGGACCTGAGTCTCTGAAGAAGTTCTTCACTTCTTATGGATGGGATTAAAATCATCTAAGATAATAAAGTAAAAAATCTTAATGTTATTTTTATCAGGACCTGTTAGTTAAATTACACATCAGAGAGGTTTCTAAAATCCCCTTCTTTCATCTCCACAGTACTGCAAATATCTTATCCAGGGGTGATGCTGAGAAATTAGTCCATGCATTTATTTCTTCCAGGCAGGAATATTGTAATTCTTTACTATCAGAAAGTCCACAAACTGTAGTTAAAAGCCTTCAGCTGATCCAAAATGCTGCAGCCAGAGTTCTGATGACAATTAAAAAGAGATCATATCTTTCCTATCCTGGCTTCTCTTCATTGACTTCCTGTTAAATCCAGAATAGAAAATAATTAAAATCCTGCTTCTCACATCCAAAGCCCAAGGCAGATCTTTTAGTTATCAGGCTCCTCCTGTGGAACTACCTACCAGTTTTAGTCCGTGATGCAGACACCCTGTCTACTTTTAAGGGTAGGCTTAATAATAAAGCTTAGGCTTAAAGTGGTTCTGATTATCCTCAGCTAATCTCTAGAATTATGCTGCTATAGGCTGAGAATGCTGGAGTTACACTTTTGATCATTCTACTTCATTCTATCTTTATTTTAGGATTCTGAAGTATTTGCTAGTTCAAGCTCTAACTTTATGCTCCTTTTGCTTTTTCTCATCGTACTGGCTTAATCTGGTCTGTTCCCATGTGGCTGGGACTCCACCCTGGAGAGAAATATCAGCTGTGCTGCACCTAAAACACCTTTATTTATAAATGTTACAGCTTGGCCTGTTTGTCAATGTAGTCCTGTTACTCTTACTGTGACTAACTGCATGCGCTCTCTTTCATCCTCTGACATGGGAGCTGGCTTGGAGCTCGCCTGCCTGGGGGCTCAGTTTTTCAGTTAGTTCACTTCATCAGGCAGTTGGTATTAAAGGTGAATCGATATCATTACAGGGCACACTTTTAAGGATTTATTTTGATAAAAATTATTTAAACAGCAAACATTGTGTGTAGTGTGCTATTTCATTAATGTATGATGTAAAACATGCAGAAACAACCAATTGTGTTTTTACTAAATTCTTTCTTTTTAATTAGCAGGAAACGGTTTTAAGGTTGTGATTCAATTCCTTTAATGAGAGAAAAAAATCATGATTAAAGAACAAAAAACAATTTAAAAAGTAGAGCATGAACATTCTGATTAATACAGTCAAGCAAAGAGTTATGAGTAAAAGTAATCAAAAGTGTATATCCATCGTGTTTTCAGAGCCCAGTTATTAGGACCATTCTGTCCAAAGATTTACATTCAGTAGAAAACATTAGACTAAGAAAAGAAAAAAAAAGAGAAAAACTGCAAATATGGACTGCATTTGTTTTTTGGCTGTTCAGTAGAGAACAATTGACTCTGAACTCCTTCAATATAGGCTTTAATGATCTGAACTGTTTTTAAAACTCTGTCCTTCAGCTCTCATATAGTTCTGTTGGCCTAACCAAACATTCTGGACTTTCTTTGGGCACCATACAAACTCTTCTTTGGGCTCATAGTGCTGAAAGGCAAACCTGAGAAGCATCCTTCGTTCTTGCTTGCTAAGGACAGCGAACACAAAGTAGCTCAGGGCGCTGTCTTTGACATTGGGAAGTTCTCCTTTAACAAGGGTCTCCTCCAGGAAGAACCTAACCAGTGGAGTTTGGTAGTGAGGGTATCCAAGGGTTCCCAGGCACTTCAGGATGCGGGTGATGCGCAAGTTGTTATGTGTGTGACTAAAAGGAAGTAGGGTAAAAAAAGGAGTCAGATTGTGGCTAAAAAATGCTGAAACCCTTTTTTTGGTATTCAAATGGCTCACCAGTTGAGGTTCTGGAACCTCTCTCTCCAGTTGGATGCTCTCTGCACATCTCCTGTTTTCTCATCTTTTAACTCGATGCCATAAAAATCCAACATGAGCTTGTAGGACCTCAGAAGATTTTGTTTTGCTTTCTCGCTATCAAGAAACTCCTGAAAGAAGAGCAAACTTATTATTGAAAACTTGTGTAAAATTTAGGTTTAATCAAATTGCTTTTTTTAAGCATTACCTGAATTTCCTTCTTAGTTAGAGTTTTGGCTTGATAGTTCATCCCTGGTTCTTGCAGAGGAAACAACCTTTCAGATAAAGCTTTAATTACAACCGGGAACTAAAATATTTCCATAAAATATTTGCATTGGATAGTACCTTACCACTGAATAAAGGTGTGCACACGCTCCAGTTTTTCATAGTTTCCATACCAGTACTGGTGGAATTCATTAATTGTGAAACCTGATGAAAAAAGAATGAGGTTAGCACACATACATTTGTCTTAAATAGATTAAAATATCAGTTTGTTTGTTTTATGCAGTAGAATCAAGAAACTTGCTCCAGTAATACTTTGTTTTATTAAACCCCAATTTTAAATAAAAATGTTTTTTTTTTTTTGACAAAAGTATCTTTTTACAGATTATAAAGGTTGACAGATCGCTGCTCAGACCCTATGGATCCACAATATAGCACAGTGCTAGGGAGGATCCAAAAGTATTCGTCCCCCAAATATATGAAAAGGGTTAATTATTATTATTAGTTACGTATTTAAAAATAAAAATGCAAAAAACAAAATCCAAACCAATGTGAAAAGCAATTTCTCGGTCAATTATGAACAATTGTTAGTGAACCACAGTTTTGGTTTAATTTCATTACTCATATCTAATTGTTGCCTCACTTTATCCATCAAGACATAATTTAAATAGAACATTTCTGACAACATGAAGTAGTTTAAAAAAAAGAAATACTGTATTCCCTATTTTTTGAAGTGTCAGAACTGAATATTTTAATTGCAAAATTAGATCTATATATTAGATATTCACATGTTCCACAGATGGTTGTAACTACGGTGTTAAAAAAGCTAAAAAATCCTGAGAATGCAGAATACTGATGGATATAAGATGAGAAGGCAGGAAAATTTGAGTTTATTGTAAAATCAATGTATGAAATCAATGCCCCACAGTTGGCACAGATACAGCGCAGCATACCTTCAAGTTGAATTGACAACATGAATACAGAATATTTTAAGGTTTGTCAGTTTAATTTGGTTCAATAATATCTGTCAATTTCTGCATTTTAGACAGTAAACCCACAATCAACTGTTTAAAACCTCCCTTTCCAAATTTTATAAAGCTATAGCAGCAGAAGCGGGAATGGGTATCAGCCTGGCCTGACTAAAATATCCTATAGGACAAAATAAATCTCGAATCACTTCAAAAGTTAAAAGCCAGAACCTCTAAACCTGTCTCAGAACGTGCCACTAGGGTTATAAAAAAGAAATGTATGCAGCTGTGCTTGCTCTTTCATCCTCTGACATGGGAGCTGGCTTAGAGCTCGTCTGCCAGGCTGTGTCCTTCCTGTTAAAAGGGAGTTTTTCCTCTCCACTGTGGCTACATGCCTACTTGGTGTGAGGGATTGCTGAAGAGTCAATGAGTCGATGCAATCAACTACCGTAGTTTTCTTTAGATAGAAAACTTTGAACCAATCTGACTGTATGATCTGGTTGAACTGTCTCTTTAAAATGCCTTAAGATAGCATGTGTTGCGAATTGGCACTATATAAACAAACTAAATTAAATGATTTACAATTCAAATATTAATACATTTTTAAGTTAAGTTTTGTGCAGGGCTAAGAAGCATCTTATCCAACAATGAATCTCTCATTCTGTCTCAGTTTTTTTTTTTTTTTTCATAATTTTTAATGTCATCCTAAGTGTTGTCACACTCATTAAAATACAAATCTAAATAAGTCATTTTTCTTATAATAAGTGCATTTGTTCTTGAATTGAGGAGGTAAGTGAGACAATCTGCAAATGGAACAAGATAATTTACATTTAGAATAAGAAGAAAAAAGATTGCATGGTCTGTTTTCAAGTGCATATTATCTAATAATCTTATTTTAAGAGTAAAAATCCTCTCATTAATAAAAAAATAAATCAATTATACATTTTTACTTCCTTTTGATCGTTTTTGCAGTGATAATGTTAGTAGCAGACCTACCATCAGGTAAAGAATGAGTCTCCCCACGGTAAAAGCTCAAATTGGGATTTTCATCCTATTCATTAAAGAAGGATTTCATTTTAACATCTTTTTCTCACATATATTTAACAAAAAAAACAACCTCCTTTTAAAAACAGGTGGATTTGTACATACGTGTTCTTGCTCTCTGGAGTTCTGGCCCTGTGGGGAAAAATAAGATATTAACTAATGACATAAGTAAAGTATGGAAGAGGATCAGGGTCACTGAAAAAATAAAAAAGTTAACTGATTTTATTTCAGTTTACTATGGGAAAAAAGTCAGAATTCTGAGATTAAAGTCAGAATTCTGAGGTTAAAGTCATTATTCTGAGATTAAAGTCAGAATTTTGAGATTAAAGTCAGAATTCTGAGGTTAAAGTCATTATTCTGAGATTAAAGTCAGAATTTTGAGATTAAAGTCAGAATTCTGAGGTTAAAGTCATTATT